TCAAATAGAGAGTGAGAAATGTCCATTACCTTAATGAAACATAGAAGAACAGTTAGAACAAAAGCAATGGAAGACAACTATTTGAGTATTTTATTTTTAGAGAAAGATACTGACATATTGCATTGACTGAGGGATTCTGGTTTTCAGTTTGTTTAGTTTGAGATGTTTTAGACAAAAGTAAGCAAGCACAAAACAATGTATAGGGTGTAAAAGAACCACTTACAACATCTCCAAACATGTCTAAGAAACGCCTATAAGAATCATAAGCAAACCGCTCTCCACTTTTTGCTGCCAACCCGGCAACCACTTCATCATTCAATCCTAGGTTGAGAACAGTGTCCATCATCCCAGGCATGGAAATCTTGTAAATGCAAGGGAAACAAGTAAGGTTGGCTATGAACATGTTATACAGACCATAAAAGGAATCAAATTTAAATCAAATTCCAATATAATTATAAACAGAATTGTAAAAATAGTAAATTTTCTATTTACAAGATTTCTTTGATCGAGAACTTCACTACTAAGAATCTTGAATTGAAATCATCATGCTAGATAATACAAAGTTCATTGTACGGTTGTTCAATAATTGGAAATCAATTACAATGTCAAAATAAGTAGCTTATACTCATTAGTCGTATTTTAGGCCCATTACGTACAAAGGTGACCCCAAATTCCAGAAATGATCCTAAATTGAGGCACTTGACAATGGCACAGAAAGAGCAAAATCAAATGCAAAAGACTCTTACCGCAGCACCAGAGCGAACTGAGAGTAAAAGAGGTCTTGAAGGATTTCCAAGAGTGGCTCCCATCTCACTTTCCACAAAGTGCAAGCCTTCAAGTACTTCCTCCCACAAGTCATCTGGTAGCTTCTTTCCATTCTGTTGATATTCTTGGCATACTTCTGTTGATATAGTGAGTCCAGAAGGCACAGATAAGCCAATGGTTGCCATTTCTGCGAGGTTGGCTCCCTTTCCTCCCAACTGTAATTAACAAGCATGCAACCGTTGATCAATTTAAAGGGAAAAGCAGCTTCACATACCAAGCATACATACAACCATATTTGGATTTGCATATGAGGTTTTATTATCATGGAACACTAATAAAATCACCATTAATAAGAACATAACAAAAGGAATCCTATTTTTTTAATGCTTAAAGTCCACTTTTTATCTCTATATTTTTGAAATTATACAATTTGATTTCTGTAAGATGAAAAGTTAACTTAAATATGTTTAAACGTTAAAAATAAAAAAGTATGCTTACCAAGGACTTCATGGCCTTGTTTCCTTCTCCCCTACCTTTGCCAAAAGTGAATACCCGCTGTTTAAACAAAGTCACATAAATGTTAGGTTAAAATGTTGTGGGAAATTATAGTTACACACCACTCTACAACTCTTTATACTAACGTGATACTATGACATATTCACATATCTCTGGGAGGAGGAGAAAGGACAATTTCTATTTTATTTCGATGTCATTTCATGCATGAGTTATTGGATAAATTAAATTTATTTAAATTTAAAAAAATATATTTTAAATAAGTAATTTAACTTATCTAATAATTTATCAGTTACTTAATTTTTATTTTATGACCCATTTTTTTATTTTTTATTCCATAAAAATGTAAATATAAGAATTCGACTTTAGCCTGTTAATATTTGGGCCTGAGATTATATTTTGAGGTCGGAAACCTTTTGTGGCCCGAAAACAGACTTGGGTTTCTCATTGGGTGTCTTGTCAACAACTCAACAGTTATTTTTTCTCACATCCAATAAAACTTTGGAGCACCTTCTTTCAGTAAGGATTAAATTAAAATTTCCAGAATATAAAAAGTATATTCCAATATATACAAGAATATTAGAACACTACATGAAATGTTCTTATGATTCGTATTCTCTCAATTGAGTAATGTGCAATGATGAAAATGAAATATATTCATATTTAGATTTTCTGTTATGTATATTTATTTGCATTTAAGTCCATTGCAGACAGATTTATGAATTGCAAATCAAGCTGATAAAACTATTTTCATTGCGATGAGGATGAGAGACGGTTGTGGGTGACGTACCTTGTTCATTGCTTGACCACGTTTTGCAGGCTGATGCGTTGTTCCATCTCTCGTCCATGTCGTCAATCCGTTTGATTTTGTTCTTGTTCCTCCAGCCACATCACCATTACTATCCTCCGCATATTCCTTCTTCCCATTCCAAACCAGATTATTAATGTTATCCCCTTCGCTCTTGGTCAGTACGCTGTTCACCATCTTTGATCTCTGCTCTACACTAAGACAAGTACACCAATTTATTCATTTTCTAATGCAGACAAAATTGAAAAAATACAGATATCTGAAGATTTTAACAAGCCAATTAGCTGCTTGGTGATTATGCAATCAAATTTGGCAGCATGTGAAATAAAATTCATGTACCTGAAGATAGGAAGTAGAGTAGCTTTTGAAAATGAAAATGGAAGTTGTAGTTTTCCCTCTTGATTTCTGTGTTTTGTTTATGTTATATTTCAGTGTTTAAATAGGCAAATATGAAATATGTGTAATGAGAAATATGTGGACGGTTATGCAACAAACTCCTCTTCATATGAGTTTTATGAAATTTCATAAAGACATTTTCTGTCTTAAAATCTCATTTTGAAATCTTCTACTATTTCTCCGTGCTTCCTATGTAAGATATAAAATCTTATTTAAGTTTTAATAAAAATAATTTTTATAGATTTTAGAATAAATTTCAATTTAATATTTTTTTAAAATTATTATCTAATTCAATTGACATCTTCCATTATTTCATATTTATTTTAATAATAAATCTTATTTTGAAATGTTATATAATTTTTATAATGTTTTAATAATAATTTTTATTTTGAAATCTTGTATAATTTTTACACTAAATTTTAATTTAATAGTTATTAGAATATATTTTAAAACTGTTAACTGATTAAATTTTAATTATTAAAAATTTAAAATACAAAATTAAAAAATAAATTAAATATTTCATATCATATTAAAGAATAAATAATTATAATAAAAATTTAAAATTTATTATTATTATTATTATTATTATTATTATTATAACTGACTTATTCAACCGATTAATTAAAAATTAGTATAAAAAGTGGTATATTACTTCAAAAAAATTAAATTTTAATCAAACGTCAACAAAAATTTTGGGTGGGTTTCAATAAAAATAATAATTATTTTTATACTAAATATAATATTTTTTATCTTTTATTTCATATAATTAATTAATTTTAAAAAATAATTATTTTATTAATGTCCAATTTTACCTTCATAATTATTATTTTCAGTATATTTAATATTTAGAATCGTGTTATTTAGTTCTTATTTTATATTATCAATAAATATTATTTTATTAAATAAGATTTGACCAATTATTAAATTCTAAATTTAGATTTTATTTTAAAAATATTAATAAAATAAAATAAAATATGATTTTGAAAATCCATTTAATAACAATTCAGCTAGTTGTGAACTATGCCATCGTTGTTAGTGTTTGCGGTGATGGGGCTATTGAACACCAACACTATGCGCAGATTGATTCTAACCTGGTTTTGAGTCAACTCAGAAGCGTCTTCCACGTATTGATTCTATCCTGGTTTTGAGTCAACTCAGAAGCGTCTTCCACCCCTGCTATTGGGGTGGTAGCGGGTGGGTTGTTCATGATTTTCCCCGATAATCGCCATGGAATTGGACACCCTAATTAACATTAGTAGTTTATTTTTTCATTTTATTTTTTGTCATGTCGCTATAGCAAACTGGGCATGTTGCTAATTTGAAATGTTATGTACCACGCTTTTCCATTATCTGCAGAGACTGAACAATCCTCTATTGCTTTTCTGCTTGTGCGACATTATACTGTGACAACTACTGTTATTGTTATTGATCGAAACTTGGGTTGGTCATCTTGATGAAATGCTTTAGTTTAACAGTTAGTGTAATTTTTATTCTGTGCCTGGTGTATAAAGAAAGGATTTGGGTTGCCCTTCATGTGGCACGAATGAAAATATCACGTGTATTGTTGTCATACTACGAGATTTTAAAACCAAAATTACCACAATACGCTTTTTTAACGATTCATTCGCCAATGTTATCTATTGACCAAACCAACTAGTGCATTAATCACTCAGGTGACCCATTAAGGTCTAAATGAAAGAAATGCCTCTAAAATTGGACTCCACTACAGAGTCAACCAGGGGCTCCATCGAATCCAATTGAACCTTGAATTTTGCACTTGTCAAGAAATTAGAAGCAGGTGGTTCTCTTCTCTACTACCTCAAATATAAGATGTAACGGTTGAAATAAAAAGACAAACTACAAAGGTACAAGGGGACAACAATCTGTCTCATCTTGAAAAAAATCACAACATAATTAAAACAAAGAAAAAGAACCACTGAAACTATTGGAATAGGCAACTTTTCCCTCATTTAAGAGGCTTTAACAATCATCAGGAAAGAAAATGACAGTATCAGGTTACAAAAATCATATTGGCTGCAACTTCATGTCCTGTAACTGGTGGTAGTTGCAGCAAACCTACACCATAAATTACAATATACACACCTTAATCTCAGCAGCTGCCCCCCCAACAATGAATCCTTTTGAAATGTTACATTATATATATATGAATGGTGAAGATCCGCCGTGTGAATAGGAGAAACATAATTAAACATAGAAGAATTTTTTTATTATGATAGTATCGAATAGAACATGTACAATAATTTAACATATTCGGTTTATTATATGACAAGACACGTATGGAGAAACATTAGCATGAATATTTGTACGTTTCTTTTTTAATATTATTTATTTACAAGATTTGTTTATTGATTTTGTTTTGCTTGCACTTCTATAAGTAGATGTTAGAAGGTCCTTAATTTCGTATGTATATGGCTTATGCTGAACAATAGTATTTGGAAGTTGCAGAGAATCAACCAATCTTCTCTTTCATATGTTTGCGATATGAGCATAAAATTTCTTATGCTGCAACTTGAGCTGCCGCAAGCCTAGCAATTGGAACCCTGTAAATGTGTCCTCGTAGTTTTTAGTTTCACATTTGAAAAAACAAAATTTTCGTATTTTTATTATCTGGAACTGAAAATCTGACCTAAAAGGTGAACATGAAACATAGTCAAGTCCAATTTCAGCAAAGAATGCGACAGAAGAAGGTTCCCCACCATGCTCTCCACATATTCCAACCTGATAATCAATATAATGTTTTATTTCCACTTTTTAGGGTAAGAATATGCAAGATGTTAACAAAAATAATTAATTTAAATTTATATTGTTAAGTTACTTATCATACCTTTAGGTTTGGTCTAGCAGTACGACCTTTTTCTGTGCAAATCTTGATTAGTTGACCCACACCTTTCTGATCAAGTACCTGCAAATATTGTCAACAATTCAAATTCAAAACCCTTCCTTCATCATTATGTATAAAAGGCCAAACAAACATGAGGCAACTCACCTCGAATGGATCATGCTGCAGAATCCCAGTGGATAGGTAGATGGGAAGAAATTTTCCAACATCATCTCTACTATATCCAAATGTCATTTGAGTAAGGTCATTGGTTCCGAATGAAAAGAACTCTGCTTCTTTTGCGATCTAGATGAATTGATTATAAAATGAGAAAGTGTACATAACAAAAGAGGGCAAATGATCCTTTTAACTCGTGTGTTGCAATTATAAATCTACAATATGGTTCCCGGTCTAAAGCTCATTACCATGTACAAGTTACAACCCGAGTGAATGTGAAAAGAAAACCTTTTTTTTATCTCATTTTTAAAATTTTATTACGGTTTAAGAGTGAATTTGCAAGACATCAGGATATAAATATTACCTCCTCTGCAACTAGCGCAGCTCTTGGAACTTCAATCATAGTCCCAACCTTATAGCTTAAGGAAGAACCCGTCTCAGACAAAACTTTATCAGCAACGTTCCTTATTAAACTTACTTGATGCCTTAATTCCTGCCAATTATTAAAAATTAGGGGCTTTTATCATGTAATCATTGCATCAAAGGGCTTCATTAATATCAGAATCAAAATTGTGATTCACGTCGTATTTTAAGAGGTTCATAGTTAAGGAGGAAGGGATTCAAGGCAATGTTTAAAAGTGTAATATGGAATGAGATTTTTCTAATAAATTATATATACGCATGATTAGATACATGTAAAGTAAATAAAAGGACAATAAAAGAGCGAAGAAATAAGTAAGAAAAAGGACCATGCCTGAGGTGTACCGATAAGTGGAACCATTATCTCTGGAAGAACTGTAATACCATGGTTTTTCACTGAAACAGCAGCCTGAAAGATTGCACGGGCCTGCATCTCAGTCAATTCTGGGTATGATATTCCCAACCTGTTCATAGAATTTCAATTGTCAAGCATGAGGAAATGCAAACCAACATGAACTTCTTGCTCTAAACAGAAATCATCAATCACATATGATACTTTGAGATTACAATTTGCTACACAGACTACAGCATTATAAGATGAGGAGGACAAACCTGCAGCCACGAAAACCGAGCATGGGGTTCACTTCTGATAGTTTTTCTATCCTGGAGAAGATTTCTTCTTCTTTCATTCCTGTTTCAGAAGTTAGTTCGCTAACAATGTGTTCCAGGTCACCCTCTGGAAGAAATTCATGAAGTGGAGGATCTAACAATCGAATTGTTACTGGCAGACCATCCATTGCACGAAATATCCCCTCAAAATCTGATCTTTGGTAAGGTAGCAACAAGTCCAGTGCAGCTTTCCGCTGCTCTGCTGTAACAGCCATTATCATCATTCTCACAGCCTTTATTCTTTCGTCTGAAGCAAAAAACTATAACACACCAAAACATACCAAAAGTAATCAAATAATTTGTAACTACCGTACATAGATAAGTAAAAAAGAATGAAAAAAATTCCAATTCAATTTGGATTCCTAGGGAACAGCATAAAATGATTCGTAAAGTCAATGTTTAGCTTATAAGGAGGATATTAGATATAATTCTCCCAAGATAGTCACACTTTTGATTTAGATATAGCAATGAGTTGAATGTTTGTTGTACCATATGCTCTGTCCTGCAAAGTCCAATCCCTTGAGCACCATTTTGTCTAGCTGTTACTGCATCTTCAGGAGAGTCAGCATTTGCCATAACCTGATAATAGACAAAAACGTATTAGAGAAATTATAAAGTTTTCCTTTATTCAATCAACTTTTACAATATATAAAGAACATGCACCACCTTCAGATGCCTTATTTCATCTGCCCAAGACATGAAAGTTCCTAAATCATCACTTAGAGCTGGAGGAGAAAGTGGTTGTTTTCCCAATATCACCTCACCTGTGGATCCATTCAGTGAGAGCCATTCTCCTTCTGCTATCACCTTTTCCCCGACTACAAACACCTACATTATCAATTAAAATTGTTCATAATCAGAACATGCATCATCTTTTATTAGCGTGTATGTATACTACATACATAAATAAAAAATCCAAGTTTACCTTCTCAGCATCATTTACAAGTATATCAGAGCAACCAGACACACAACACTTTCCCCATCCACGGGCTACAACAGCAGCATGAGATGTCATACCACCCCTAGCCGTCAAGATTCCTGTAGCTGCATGCATACCCCCAACATCCTCTGGGCTTGTCTCATTCCTTACCTTCAATAGTTCAAGAGTGCAATAGCATTTAATGATTGTTAATGGATGACTTGTTTAATTCAACCATAAATGTTACTAAATCAAGGAGAACATTTACATCCTAACCATAAAAACAACAATCTTATGTTAAAAAATATTTAGCCGAAGTTAACTCTAGATTTTTCTATCTAAAACTAGGCAGGCAGTTTATTAAGAAAAGGAACAAAAAGGATTAAAAACAAAGACAAATGTATGGGCAAAACATATTACCAAGATAACACTCTTTCCTTGTGCATGCCATTCTTCAGCATCATCAGCCGTGAACACCACCTGCCCTATTGCGGCTCCAGGGGATGCAGGCAAACCAATGGCAACCACTTTGTCCTTGTAAGCAGATGGATCCTCAAACTAACCAAATAAATTTTTAGACAGTAAGTATCTTACATGAATCTAATAAGTTAGAGGACAAATATAAATGAAAAAAAAATAACATTTTTATTGAACAATAAAAATCATCAAGCGAAAACAATTCTATATAATGGATGTGGTTATGATATTTTATAATTTTTTTTTTAGTTTTAGTAATCCTTCTAAAGCTAATTGATGATTTCAAGTTGTTTCAATTAATACATTATTTAAATCACTTCGTTAACATCAACCCTTAGAATTGATTTTAGGCACATAAATTATTAAGCTTTCATGGGTCATCATATTAAATACTTTCTTTTGAAGTAAAAATTTATGAATTCTATATGCATAAAATCAACACTAAAAATCAATGTCAAAATTTTCCTATGTATAAAGAAAATCAAAGGCACATGATAAATGGATAATGGTATGACAAGTATCTACCTGTGGGTGTAGGAGTTGATCAAGATGTTGTGGTTCTACCATCTTGATTGCAGAACGAATGTCAACAAGCCCCTCGTTAACCATATCCACGGCTATTTTGATTGCACCTTTACCAGTACGTTTTCCGCTTCGACATTGCAACATCCACAATCTATTTTCTTGGACAGTGAACTCAATATCCTACAATTTAATCACAATTTTAGAAGTTTTTTGTATCAATCTATTTATATAATTGGTATAAATTATAAAGCAAAACAAATATATGAAAAAGTTGAAACTTTACCATCATATCCTTGTAATGTTTCTCTAAAAGTTCACAATTCTCCTGAAGTTCTTTATAAGCTTCTGGCATGCAAAATTTCATGACTTCCAAATCTTCAGGTGTCCTGATTCCAGCAACTACATCCTCTCCCTAACAAAAACATTCAGCATTTTTTTACTAAAACATCAGCATCAAGAGTAATAAATAACATCCACAGGTTAACAAATATGATATGACATAGAAGAAAAAAAAGGTAAACCACATGTAACCTGAGCATTAATTAGAAATTCGCCATAAAGTTTGTTTTCACCCGTGCTTGGATTTCTAGTGAAAAGGACGCCAGTTCCGGAAGTGTTTCCCATGTTACCAAACACCATGGACTGAATGTTCACAGCAGTTCCCTTTAGCCCAGTTATTTGATTAATGTTCCGATACTTAATTGCCCTTGGGCTATCCCAAGAATTAAAAACAGCTTTAATAGCTAATTCTAACTGCTTCTTTGGATCTGCATTGGTAAATGAATAAGGAAGATGAGTTCGGTGAAGATATTGGACATGGATCAATGACTGACGATGAGAATATATCATAACAAAAGTGAAGAAGTTGGTGTGTGTTTCTTTCAGCACCTGAGGGAAACTTTTCTCCCATGGCTTCAAGGTACACATTCTTGTACTGCTCAACTAGCTCTTTGAGATCATAGGCTGTTAGATCTGTGTCAAGTTTAACACCTCTTGCACTTTTTAGCTTTTCTAACTTGTCCTCAAATAGCGAGTGAGAAATGTCCATTACCTCAATGAAACATAGAAAAACAGTTAGAACAAAAGCAATGGAAGACAACTATTTGAGTATTTTATTTTTAGAGAAAGATACTGACATATTGCATTGACTGAGGGATTCTGGTTTTCAGTTTGTTTAGTTTGAGATGTTTTAGACAAAAGTAAGCAAGCACAAAACAATGTATAGGGTGTAAAAGAACCACTTACAACATCTCCAAACATGTCTAAGAAACGCCTATAAGAATCATAAGCAAACCGCTCTCCACTTTTTGCTGCCAACCCGGCAACCACTTCATCATTCAATCCTAGGTTGAGAACAGTGTCCATCATCCCAGGCATGGAAATCTTGTAAATGCAAGGGAAACAAGTAAATTATAAACATGTTATAAAGATGTTGTCTATAAACATGTTATAGACATCATAAAAGGAATCAAGTTTAAATCAAATTTGAATACACTTATAAATAAAAGTTAATGTTTCAAGAATCATAGCAAGTGAATTTCTTATCTACAACTTAAATTAACATATTGTGATTGAATATTCAAAGAAATTATTGCTAATTACTTAAATCAAGAACTTCACAGCTAAGAATGTTGGATTGAAATCATCAATTTGTTCAATGCTAGTTATAACAAAGTTTATTTTCTTACATGTTGTTCCATCGTTGGAAATCAATGGCAATGTCAAAATAAGTAACTTATGCTTAGTGGTACTCATTTTTTCGTTAGGACCTTTGCGTATAAGGTGACTCCAATTTGCAAAAATGATCCTAGGTTGAGGCACATAACTAGAGCACGGAATAATCCAAAACCAAATGTAAAAGCCTCCTACCGCAGCACCAGAGCGAACAGATAGTAGAAGAGGCTTTGAAGGATTTCCAAGGGTGGCTCCCATTTCATTCTCCACAAAATGCAAGCCTTGAAGTACCTCCTCCCACAAGCCATCTGGTAGCTTCTTTCCATTCTGTTGATATTCTTTGCATGCTTCTGTTGATATAGTGAGTCCAGGAGGCACAGATAAGCCAATGGTTGCCATTTCTGCGAGGTTGGCTCCCTTTCCTCCCAACTGTAATTAACAAGCATACAACTGTTCATCAATTTAAAGACAAAAAGTAGTCCTCACGTACCAAGCAGACAACCATATTTTGATTAACATGTGTAAAGGTTTCATCATCATGGAACTCTAATAAAATCACCGTTAATAAGAACATAACAAAGAATCCTATTTTTTAAAGGATTAAAATCCACTTTTTATCTCTATATTTTGTAATTTTATAGTTCTAGCTTTACAATGTTGATATATATTTAAAGATAATAAATGTGAAAGTTGGTTGTTAAATTTTAATATGAATATTTATGTGAATAAATAATAATTACACTATATTATCACTTAAAAAATATAAGTTTTTTTTTGCTATTAATTGGATGACATATTTAAAATGAATTAAAAATTTTAATTAAAAAAAAATCAAATGTACAATTAACATTTAATAAGGACTAACATTACACCTTTGTCAATTCACATGATCAAAAGTTAACTTTAATCTTTTTAAAATGTGAAAAAAACAAAAAATGTGCTTACCAAGGACTTCATGGTCTTGTTTCCTTCACTTGTACCTTTGCCAAAAGTGAATACCCGCTGTTTAAACAAAGTCACATAAATGTTACGAAAAAATATTATGGTAAATAATAGTTACACACCACTCTACAACTCTTTATACTTCTCATGATATAGTGGGAAATTTACTTCTAAAAATGTGATATTATGACATTCACATTGTTTTGGGAAGAGGATAATTTGTATTTTATTTTGTTATGTGTCATTGTTTAATTCTATCCCTGCTTCTAACTAGACAACTTGAATAATCACTTATTTAAATGATTTATTGGATAAATTTATTTAAATTTAAAATAAATATTTTTGAAATAAGTAATTTAAGAAAATCACTTAATTAAGACGCAGATATAATTTGTTATAAAATTTACTATTTACAAGAGTTTTTATAAATTTGATTGCAAGTTGAAAAGCCAAATAATTTATCAGTCATTTAATTTTAATTTTTGGTCCATTTTTTTAACATTATATTTTGAGGTCTGAAACCTTTTGTGGTCCAAAAACAAACTTGGGTGTCTTGTCAACAACTCAACGGTTGTTTTTTCTTACATCGTATAAAACTTTGGAGCACCTTCTTGATTAAGGATTAAATTATCCTTGCCGGAATGTAAAAAGCATATTACAAAAAATAAATAAAATATTAGAACACCTAAATGAAATGTTCAAACGTCATTTTCCTTCATCTAATTTTGGGTTGTTCTTATGATTCGCATTCTCTCAATTGAGTCATTTGCAACGATGCAAATGAAATATATTCATATCTATATTTTTTGTTATGTATATATATTTTATAAACAACATTAAAAATATAGTAAATTCAATGTTTTAAACAGGGGCATTTATATCCATTTGCACGTAGGTGAAGCTATTATGATTAGCAAATCAATACGATAATATAGAATTATCGATCTTGCTCTTACAAAGTTTAACTTTCACAATTGTAATTTTGTTGTTTGTAGTAATATTGATATATTAAAAACGTAATGAGAATTATTTAATAAAATATATTTTTCTTTCTTTAACCTATATTCTTGAGAAAGACCAAATATAAGAAAGGGACAACTGTGTCTTCTCTCTCTTTTAATATTGTATAATAACTCTAATGTTTTGGTAACAAATCATTATTTTTTGATACGAGATTTCCATAAAGTTTATAATTTTCATGACTCAACAGGTTATTTAATAGTTTTTTCGATACCATGATTCAGAAAAGTATAATGAATTTATTGGTTTTTATAAAAATTACTTTTAAATTATACATACGTGAGTCTGTGAACCTCACTTACATGAAGATCAAAGACAATGATGTTGCAGCGTGAATAATAAATGGTGTGTGACGTACCTTCTTGGTGGTGGGTGGGGTTGCTGGGGTAAGAATTGCTTGGCCACGTATTACAGGTTGATACGATCTTCTACCTCTCTTCCATGTCGTCAACCTGTTTGATTTTGATCTCAGCCGAAACTCCCAGTGCGCTCTTGTTCTTCTTCCCCCACCAACCACAACAACATGGCTATGCTCCACATATTTCTTCTTCCCATTCCAAACCATATTACTAATATCATCACCTCTGCTCCTTATGAATACGCCTTTCACTATGGAAGACATCTTTCATCTATCTAAAACAATAACACCAATTCATTCAGTTTTTTTGGTGCGGACAAGGGATGTGAATAAATACAAAAAAAAACACTGAAGATAGTTAATAAGCCAATTAGCTGCAAAATCAAATTTGACAGCATGTGAAATCAAATTCACGTACCTGAAGATAGAAAATACGATGAGGAAATAGTTAATATACAGAGCAGCTTCTGAAAATGGAAATGGAAGTTGTGATTTTCCCTCCTTGTTTTCACTCTGTTCTGTTTTTGTTATATTTCAAATGTTTTAATAGGCAAATATGAAATGGGTATGATGAGAAATGAGTGGACCAAAATAGGGTTATGGAACAAACTTCTCTTCATAACATCAATTTTTGACTAACTAATGCTAATTTGATAGTATTTTTGTTAAATTATATTATTTATATAACAATTTTAAAGTTTTTATTTTCTCTTCTTATCATGTGAAGAAGAGAGGAGGAAGAGCTTTGTTCTTTTTCCGAATTACCAATTGCCCTCTCTCTCGCTGCAGGATAAGGGTACGTGGCACAATAATAATTGTCCAAAATCAATAAAACTCTTGTGTTCGTCCCAGAGCTCCGGAGCGAAAACATTATTGATAAAGAAATATTTTTTGTCCTTCTTCCCATTTTTTGAGAAAATAAAGGAGAAATTACGAGATGCAGAGTTTTTATTTATTTATTTGAAAAAATTAAATACAAAAATAAAGAGTAATTTAATATATTTTATATTTAATAGGATAAATGAATAAGACGTGGCTTCAATCATTTTTCGTGTAACGTATTGTAGTTATTGTAGATAGTTATCGAACTTATCTTCAATCCTCCTCGCATCTATTTATCTATATAAATAAATAATGAATTTTATTTTTACTTAAAATTAATTTAAATATAAAATGTTTTTATCATACTTTTTACCCTTTTACTTGTTTATAATTTTCGCAAATACAACTGAGAGAATAATATCTCTGTCACGGTTAAAATCTCACAGAAACAACTTTAAAATTTAATTAGTCGCATTTTGTTTAGAGATTATTGGGATGTATTTAGATAATAAAAAAATTATATATATATATATATATATATATATATATATATATATATAAAGAAATCTACAAACTAATTTTATGAACAAAGTAATCTTAACGTAAAAAACTTAAACTAACATATTTAAGGTGTAATAAGATATTTTATCTTTAATCTATTGCTTTTCTCTACTTATGTCTATCTATAATAAAAGAAAATGTAAAAATTAGTAAGTATTTCACACCATCTTTGAGCTTATTAGAATGAAAATAAAAATGTTTTAAAAATCATTTAACTTTGGTATCTGGTAGAAAAATATAAATGATTACTTTTTAAAAAATTAAATTAAATTAATTAACGTTATATTATTTTAACTATGAAGGTGTGCATATTTATTTCTAATTATTTTTTTTGTATGATGGTACATGGACAATCTCTTTTGAATAAAACATCTAATCTTTTTTTTTTAACACAGAATTTTGAAAATGTTAACAGGACTGAAAAGTGTTATGGGACCCACGAAGATCAAGTGGAATATACTCTGGATCCAAGTAAAAGATGACACGTGGTTAAGGCTAAAGACACAAAAAAAGAAAACTATTAATCTATTACTATCAATTATTTTTTAGAATCCTTATCTTCCAAAGTTTTTTTATCATTTTAATTTACATATATTATAATCTAAATTAATTTTACGTAAATATTTAATAACATTCACTTTATTGTCACAAGAAGATAAAATACAATTGAAAAATAAAAATTATTTAAATATTTTTTAAAATTTATTTATTCAACTAAATTTGATTATTGTTTATACATAAAGTTTAATAAAAATAAATAAATTCATTTGATATAATATAGTTATTTTCATTAATTTTATTATTTTTCACTTTATTTATTTATTTTTTATTATTTTGTTTGGTTGATTTTTCTTTTTTTATTCTCATTCTATTTTATTTTTTAATTAAAAATAATAAATTAAAATTTAATAAAATAAATCTTTTATTATTATTGAAAAATATAAATATTTAAATGGTTAAAAAATATTACAAATATTACAACAATATTATATTTAAAAAATATGACATGATAAATTTAAAATATTACAAATATTATTCATATGTTATAATTATTAAGAAAAAATTAAACATTTATTTTAAAATAATTTTTAATAAATGTATTTTTTAAATCACCTAATCTAATTAATTATCATAACTCTAGATTAAATTATTAAATAAAAAAATATTTAATTTATAAATATTTAATATTTTTTTAATTAGATGAATAATTATTTATTATAATAAAGTAATTTTAAATTAATTATTTATTATCAAAATAAATAAAATTATTTATTATTATCATAATTTTGAATAATTAGTTAATATTTTTTTAGTTTTATTGTTGATTTTAAAATATTTATTTAAACATATATTTTTTAAAAATTTATATAATAGTTTAATTAGAATAATAAATAGAAAAAGAAAGAAAAAAATAAAAGATATAAAATATAAAAATCGAATGAAAAATAAAACATTTTAAAAAAATCATATAATAAACCAATTAATAAATTTATAAAAAAAAATTTAAATATATTTTTTAAATATATTATTAATAGGATTCATTATCTTATATCAACATAATGTTTTACAGTAAATTAAACTCTTTATCTATTCTCATAAATTATGCATTTTTATTTATGACTGTACCAATTTGCTTCCCATTTACTCCATGTATATGAATGAGATAACGCAAAAGAAAAAGAAGATTAAGAATTTAAAACAAATCAACAAAAAAACTGGTGTTTTACCTTTAAAGATGATAATCATAGCATCCCATTTATTTTCACAGTCTTACGAACGATTACATGTCTCAAATTTTGATAAATTTGTTTTTTCTTCTTTAAATTTGAGATTGATTTTTTTTATTTTTTTATCAAACACTTCATCAATATCTGTTATCATTTAGATATAGTTCGCTTTAGAGGGTAAATTACTGTAAAATGTTGCGTTTGTCTTCTTAATATAAGTCTTTCTAAAAATCAGTCATTGATTTTATGCTATTCTTATTTAAAAAAAATGTTCATTCTTTTCCAAAGATTTTTTAAATTTGAATTCTTGATATTTTAAGAATTATGTGACAGTGGATGAAAGTGATAACAGATATAAAAATAATAATCATGATGATTATTATATTATATTATATTATCATTAGATAATATAGAAAACTGATATAATAATTAAAAAAAAAGTGACATAATAATTAAGATAAAATAATTTATATTTTTTTAAAATTTATTTTTTCTAATAAATATTTAGAATTTTAATGTTGTTCGATAAATTATAATATAACTTTTTTAAATATTTTTAATATAAACTATTTATTTTCAAATAGGAATTATCTACTTACTCAAAAAATTAAATTGAGAGAATAATTTTTAATCTTTTACGATTTATTTTCTTATAATTCAATGGATAAGATGGCTTATTAGAATATTATATTAAAAAATAATTTATAGATATTTATGTATAATATTCTTCCAGACAAATAATTAAATCACGTATGAATTTAGGATTTTAATAGAGTTAAAGTGGAAATTAAATTAAAATTGAACTAAATTTAATAAAATAATAATTTTTAATAATATTATAATATATTAAACTTAAAATAAGTTTACCAATAAAATTTTTGACATTATATTGATTATTATCCATAAGAATATTGTTCACATTTGGTAATTTTTGCATTTACAAGCAACAATAATAATTTATTTAAAAAAATATGATATAATAATAAGAATAATTTGTAAAATACATAAAATAAAATGATAAGTGACATGAATAAATATATAATTAAACATTTGGGGTACAAAATAATATAATAAGTGAAAAAATTTGTCTCTCTAACTAACTTGAAAATAATAAGGGAAGTAAATTGCAACTAACTTTAAAATAATTTGAAAAAAATTACACTTAACTTAAAAATAATTAAGGGAAAAAAATTATATTATATGTTCCATTCTACCTAACTTCAAATTCTATATATTTTATTTCAATGTATGATTATGTAACCTAAGGATAATTCAATACATTTAGTCAAATATATACTCATCAATTTTATTCGTAATATCTAATTTTAAAAACCATCACAATTTTAGAAATTCTCAATTTTTAAAAACCCTAATTTTAGAAAATTTCAAAATTACTTCCATGAAATATGCACTGAAAATCTCTTAAAAATGTTACTCATTTACAATATTAAATCTCCAAAATTGTTTTATCACATTAATTTTTGAAATATAAAGATTATGATTATTACATGTTATATGAATGATTATAAAGATAATAATAAACAACAACGAAAATAAAGAGAACCCGACAATCAAAGAAAATAAATGGTAATAAATAATAATGACGAAAATGGTAACTTAGAAATTTAGATAAAATATAATTTATTTTTAAACTTCAAAAACAAAAATGTTTGTAACATTTATAAGTTTTAATTTGTTGATAATAATTTATCTATTTTCTATTAAAATTTGACAGACTTAATTTGATTGACATGTCCTATTTTCCTTTCAAAATTACACCTAAAAAAATTAGGTTACCATCCTAAAGTTTGGATCATATCATGTGATTAGTCTATACGTTCAGGACTCTAAGTACCAATATGCACAATTTTTAAACCTGAATGACTAAATGCATATGAACTAAACTTTAGATTTCAATTTTTTCTTTTTTTTAAGAATATTGAAAAAAAAAGTCACATTTTAGTTACGTGATCAAGTTTCTCATAGTCTCATATTTCAACTACTAAAAGGGTTATTTTGTGCATATAAAACATCTTTTTCTTTTGACAATTGTACATATAAAAAATCTTAAGAATCAAAATTCATGTTTTTAAAAGTTTTTACATTGTCAGACAGGACTCCAGAGGAAGATCATTTACATTTTAACCATGATTTTGTTGCTTGAATAATAAAAACCATTTAAACAAAAATATTAGATGGATGTTGAGGATAAAGTTAGTTACTAGAAACGAAAAGAAAAATTGAAAAAACCACCATCTTCTCCATTTTATTCACATACTTCAACTGCTTGGAATGGAGTTTAGCAGTTATAAACCTCTTACAAGATAAACAAACAAACAAACAAAAAAAGTCATGGATAAAGAGATTCATAGTAAGAAGTTGAGTCTTACATAATTTCAAATAAATAAACAAACAAAAATGACAAGTGCAACTTCAAGAAAAAAACAACAAACTATAAACAGCACAAGAAAATGACAACACCAACTTGCCTTAATGTATCTCAGAGAAGCATGATATGAACGTATTATTATTCATTGCATGATTCTCACGTTATATTATCTTTAACATTGCTATTATTAGCATGATTATTTTTATTACTAATATTATTATCATTATTTAAAATGCTTAAAGCAAATAAATCAATTACGAGGAAAGCGCACAGCAATTCGTTGCCTAATGCGACTCCTGCATGAAGGACAGTCTTGCATACCCTGCTTCTCATGGAGCTCATTGCATGTTGTGCAAACAACTTGATGAGCGCATGGGAGGAATACAACAGACATCTCCTCCGAAAGACACATCACACATTCCCGTTCCCGTTTCACGCCACCTGTCGCCATGTGGTCAATGACTAGTTCAGAGATGAAAGAAGTCTGGGATTCCTTCTGAGATGTGCCATTTTTAATGTACAAGCATTTCCTGGCATAGCTTCCATCAATGCCCATTCTCAGTGCAGCAATTTTTGAAGAGTCTGTCTTCAGTCTTAGTTTGGCAATTTCCATTTCAAGTTTTTGGATGTCATCCCTGTACCTTTGTAGATTCCTTTCTGCTTTTAATTTGATCATATCCTCTTTGGATTTTCCTGATTCCTCTATTTGATCTATTTCCTTTCTTAATGAACTAGCCTGTTGGAGAAGTTCTTCTCTTGCCTTTTCTTCCTGCTGCCATCTAGCCTGTGATATTTTCACTCAACAATGAGAACAAACCCAGCAACATATCTTATGTAGCACCTAAATAGCTACAGGCATTTCTGGAATCTCACAAGTGGCGCATGATGATGTGTACCAAATTATTTTATCATGTTTCTGTTTAATACAACTATATTCATATGATTTCTTCAAACAAACGAAATAACATACAAAATGTACAGGAACAAATAAAAATTTGAGTCACCCCAAAGTCTGTACAGACTGATTATTAAATACATCATCAAATGAACATAAATGCCTTGGGGCTAGTTTTCTCAAATTTTTAAAAGATGATGAATTGAAATGGATATCATTTTTAACTCATGGGTATAAGCTAACACTCTGTCAAGGAGGAAATTGGTTTGAAGCAAATATCATATGGATACAGGTACTGTCCATTTGTTCTCCATTAGAATCAATTTATCATATATATATATATATATATATAGAGAGAGAGAGAGAGAGAAATGGATAACAAATACTCGTGTCAAGAGCATAACAATCCATTTATTTTTATTCTAAATATAATATGGGAGTGGAGACTAACAAATGGCCTAGTCAAAAGAGTTTTATCAGACTACATAGAACAGAAAAACTGTAAAATGAAATCAGTAGAAGACCCAAACGGTCTCTATAAAGAATCAGATTCTGACACGACACAATGGCACTGTTCTTTGCAACCGACCCATCTAATGAAAAAAAAAACCGTTTTGTTGGTTATTATTGTAGAACCTTTACATAGCTAATCACCCACTAATCTAACTTCCTATTCGACAAGATCATAGGTTACACGAGAGATCAAACTATTTAAGGAGCCATACTATATTAGTATAGATATCAAGTGAATGCTTACAAGATATAGAGAAGAAGCATATGAAAGAAGTTGGAATAAATTTCAGATAATATACCTCAACTTGCTCATGTTGCATTCGAGTTTGTTCTAATTCCTGCAGCAATTGTGCCAATTTCCGTTTTTCAATCATTAGCTCTTCCTGAAACAAGGATTTCTGCTTTTCCCATGACTGAAACTTCAGTTGTGTCTTCTTTTCTCTCCTTGACACCTCTTGACAGCTTGCAGCAGTTTCTATAGCACGTAGCTTAGCAGCCTCCATCTCTTTCCTTAATGCAACCTTCTCCATCTCAAGCTTCCGGACAGTGGCATTAGCTCGCTCTACCTGCCCACTAACTTTACACAAGGCATTTTCCATCTCAGAGAGCTTCTTTAAGGTATTTTCCTCAAGAGATTGTTTCTCCTTCTTAAGACGTTCAACTTCCTCTTTCTCTTGCCTTAGTGTCTGAAGTTCAATCTTTTCTTTACTCAGACGGCGAGTAGCTTGCATAACCTTCTGATTTGCCCACTCTGTCCATTCTTGAAGTTGATTTTGCAACTCTCGAATCCTTGGAACCAACTTCAAAATCATCTCATCCTTTCCATTATGAGTCATCCACTTGCTCGAGAACTGAAAGCATGGAATTCCTATAAAAGTACCATTAAGTGCCTCGCTATTGCTGCGAACCGGTTCTTTAGAAGGATTGATTTTTGTAGACAACGAGAGAGAAAGATCTGTATTGGTAGGTGATAATGAAACTGGAGAACAGAATGCGGGTATAGTATTTGCAGCATGAATTGGATATGAAGTATTGGTCGATCTAGAAACACCATAAGAAGAATCTAGGTTGAATGCAGTGGGCATAGAAGTGCCGGCATTACATAAGAAATTAGTATTAATATTGTCTTGAGTCATATCAATTCCCATTGCCTTACTTGTCTGTAAGGATGCACCTTTAAAATTTATGGTAGGGGATTCGGACACAGGTTTAAGTTTTTTATCCAAGATTAAACCACTTAAGCCATTCAGCTTCCCTCCTCTTGAAGACCCTTTTGACCCACAAGAACGATGACTTTTTTCTACATGAAATGACTTGTGTCGAAGTATGTAGTCCCTCCTGGTGCTACCAGAATGTACCTTTCTAACAGTTCCGTACTTTTCATCCATCAGGGCAGATTGAGATGTTCCAGCAGCGCTGAATGCTCTATTAGTGCAATCAGATTCACAACTGGAGCCCTCATTCTTTGAGGTTCCACCAATAATTTGAGAATTGAAGTTGTTCACACCAGTAAATTCAGTCACAAAGGGTTTCTTTGATTGAGAATCATGAGATCCTGCAGGAATTGATTTACCTGGACTTAGAAGACTTAATTCTGGGACTTTTTCTGCTTTTGATTGTAATTCTGCCAGGCCAGATGAAACGCTATTAGCTGTATTATCGCTACCTAATTTAGTTAAAGGGTCACAATCCATGGCACAAGCATGTGACACATTCATGTCACAGATCAACAAACGCCACATTGCATCCCCAATGCTGAAGAATGGTCTAATCTCTCGTAGAACACAAACCAATTCAGCCAAGACATATTTCCCAAGCTGTACTAAATCCTTAAAATAGTGCTCTCTTGACATATCAATCACTTGGCCATTTCTAATAAATGCTAACGTATTATCAACAATATTAGACACAGTATCTTTACATCCATAACAGATACCAGGTCTTAAGATGGCCTTCCTAGCCACTTCTTCGGTGCAGCCACATGCTACAATTTTTTTTATTGAACTCTTGAAAATGGTGTCCAAATTATTCAACACAAGTTCTTCCAGTTGGGCTTCCGTGAGATCGCTCCAATCTGCATCACTAACTTCGTATGTCTTAGGTTCTTCCTTAGATTGACTAGGCCCGACCTCAGATGTTCCAGGACTGTATAATCCAAGGCCGAGCTTCAGCGCATCTGAATAATCTTGGCTAACACCACACATATCACAAGCAGTGGCTTGCCAATGACTTGGATTTATTTTAAACTTCTCAGCAGAGAATTCATAACTGTGGCACTCGAGTTGAGGCGCAAGAATGATCTTATTTGGATCCCCTAAAGGTGGATCAGCCCTGAATTTTCTCTTGTTTCTACTTCCTTTCTCTTGGCAAGAAACCGCAGGAGACATTTGACTGCTTCAACTGCCACGAATGAAATCATTTTAGTTGCAATCAACACGCTTGTTAAGTCTCATTTAGCTTCCATTCAGAAACATCCATCATTACTTATTCCGAAATCATCTTTCATGAATTGAAAAGAAAAAAATGCATATGACAATAACATCGGTGAGGAAAATCAGAGAAAAGTACAAACATTGTTCTCCTATGAATAAAATTTGCAATGGCAAACACTGCATTACATGGCATTGTATATTAACATGCATTTGACACTAACAATTAATCACCTTTAGTATTGCAACAAAATGGCATATTAAACTTCCTCATTGATGGAAATAAAGGAGGAAAATCAATAAATATACCCAGAAACATATATCAGTAATCTCAGCGAAACGAGCATCCGCTTGACAAAATATGAAATTAAAAAACATTCAATTGAATCGCAATACATATCAATACTCAAAAAAACACATGCATGAATAACAAAGTAATTAAAACAGAATATTTTGAATATTATAATAATAGCAAACGGAGCCACTGATGTGAAAAGATCCGTGATACGAGACTCGTAATCAGTATTAGATGATCGATGCATACCAGATTGGAGCAATTTTTACAATAATTCAATGTACGATCGATCTTTCAAAATCAAAGAATCAGATAGGAGAAAATTCATTCCTTTTTTTTATGGTTGTGTATTTTTCGCCTTTATTTCTTTCTTTATTTATTTTTGTACAGATGTCTAGACCTGAAAGCTTGGAGGTTTTAAACAATTTATTGAACGTCTCTCGCTCGCGAATAATAAATTATTATTATTATATCTTTAAAAAATTTAATTCGTGTTAATGTGCCATATTTTTTTTATTGGACCCTCTCAAATATTACAGTGTTTCTATTACCATATGTCAAAATTTTGCAATTTAGCAGTGAATAAACAAACAGTATTAATAGGAGTAAAATGTTGGAGAGAAATGACTTGGTGATGTAATGTGTTGAGTTCTAAGATTAGATGGATTTTTTCAATGAATTGGTTGCCGACGGGAGCGAATTCAACAAAAAGGACTATTTGGAAAGGGGGATAGGTTAGCTTGAAAAGGCTGTCGTGGTGTGTGAGAATATGGGTAATGGAATATTATATTACACTTGAGAGTGGAATAATGCAAGAGAGGTTTATGTGTGCTTTTTGTAGCTAGATCTTCTTAGATCCAAGCCATGTTGTGGCATCATCTGATATTGTTTATGTTTGGAGGAAGGTGAAAAAAAGAACACGTATAGTTGGCTCCGCTAATAATTACAGTTTGTGCGAAGGGGTTGGTTTTAGGAAGTAAGAGACAAATTCCATACATGCAATTCAAACGGAAACTGCGTAAAATGGAGTGATAGTTGCCAATAAAAAATGTTACGTGGGTCCACATTGACCTAGTTAAAGAAAAAAAAAGTTTTTTTATGAGCTACAAATCCATGTATGCGAAAGGATGGCATTATATTTAATTTTTTTTTAGGTAAAGAGAATGAGAGAAACAAGAGAGCTTCATATGAATAAAATATCCTTCATTAACTTTCATATATTTTAATGTTTTGAGAAATTATTCCTTTAAGTACATTGGAATGGATGACATTTGTTGCTTGGTATTAAATCATTATTTGAAGTACATGATTAGAGATTTAGTTTTTGAATTTGTATGCTTATAAAAACATCCATTGAGACTATCTACATCGCACTTAAAATTTAGTAACTAACTCTTGACTGGAGAATACGAATATGAAATTTAAAATAGGATACGTAATTGATTTTTTTTTTTTTTTGTCAATATGAAATTAATTTGGAATGCTCTCAATCAATAATCCAGACATGTTCGTGGTACACACAAGTTTGATCCAACATCTACAGGATAAATAATGAGGGAATGGATTTAAATGCTAAATAGTATCTGTCTGCCTCCCAAGTTGACCAGTGACCATCTTACGAGTTTCCTCCATGATTCAATGCAAATGATAGTCACAACTCAATCTCCTTACATACCTTCCTTTTATTTCAGTCGTTATTGATTTCCCTTCTAAAGATCAAATCTGTAGAGGATGTGCAGTGGCATCACATGAAGGTGAGCAGAAGTGTTCTCCTCTGAGGTGTTTCTGCATGGTTATACCAACATGAAACTTGAACTAATTGTGATTTTTTAATTCTGAACAAATTCCTTTTGCTGCCAAGATAATGCCACCTCAAGCCGGTAAGTTGGTAGCCTTGAGCAGTCTAAATTATAGTGACCAGTAAATGTACAGAGTAATGCAAAGCGCTCAGGAAGTTGGAACATGGAAATGTACCACTTGGGAGAAACTGCAAAGAGACTTGGTGAAGCTTCAGAAAAGCCTTCTCTTCAATCACTATAAAGCGAAAAGGGTGGAGATAAGTCATTATATCGATCATGATGAAATAAATGATTGACACGAATCAAATCAACAATGTTGTTGAGATTGAGATCATACTCATTCCATTGGTCTTGGACATGCTGGAGAGTGAACCTCTATGGCTCTATGGTTGGTTGGGCTTATCCCTGAAGCCACAGGCTGACAGGGGTGCAACTCAGAGAAACTGGTTCTGACAGAAGGATTAACATCAGATCCATTGCTAGCAGGCATCTCAGGAGTTCCTGAGCTGGAATTCATTACAGCACCAGCACTGATCGCATCTGATCCAGATGTACCTGACTACAATATTGGACTAATAGTTAGATGAACAAGTTGTTCAATAAAGATAACTTTAATTATTGAATCATCACTAGCAAAATTTTGATCATAGATGCTAATCCTGCAAGAAGAGCAATTCCAGATAATATTACAAATTTAAAATCTTTACACAAACTAGAAAGAAAATTAAATGAAACCAAAGGAATATAAAGAATCCATACATTGGAGAGGCCTTTGATCTGAACAATGATAATTGTTATATCATCTGTTCTGTTCTCAAGTTGCAACCATAGATTATATGACTTTTCTGCAATAGCTGCACATGCATCACGAGGATCCATATAGCTTGCAGCCTACACCATAAATAAATCACATATTTTTCAAGAAGGGGATAGGAAAGTCACAATTTTACCTATGGAACTGCACAGAGGAGTAAACATTGAAATCTTAGTCTATGGTACTGCAGCAGATTAGGGGTGATCAGCAGCAAGCAGTGCAAAAAATTGGAAGTTGCTCTGCTGAACATCTTATTACAAGGATTGTGTAAACAATGGGGATGAAAAAGAACTATCACAATTTGGATATTTTTTTCCAATGAACCATCTAAAGTTCCCATAATTATTGCAGTTAATACCTAGTGGGTAATGTTGTAGTATAATTACGACAGTTGTTACATATGATAAGTGGATCGACCTAACTAAAACATGTCAAGTGGAGAAGCCTAAGCAACACGTGTACACCACTCCCACAAGATATAAGGTTATGGCCCGTAATCTTTCTTTAGCTTTTCATTTCAATTATATTAACATAAAATATGTGGAAAATGAACATTTAAAAGATAATATATTATAATAGCACTTCATTGCAAAGACATTTACAGATATTTACCGGTACCACAAACATACCTAACACACAAAACAACATTTTTGTTACAGATTTCAAGTCAAAATCTTTAATTGCAACTTGTATAACCTTTAAAAACTAACATTAGTATTTCCAATTACAGAAGTGGATGCTTAATTTTACAATCATTAAACTAAATTAAATTAAATCATTCAATCAACTTGCTCAACCTGTGAAAACATTTTTACACACTATAAAAGCAAGAAGGAGCAAGGGTTGCAAGTCATACCATATCAACAACAGTTTGGCTTGTAAGGAATTCAAATACGCCATCACTTGCCACAACAAAGAAAAGATGATCAGGTGTAAGCTGAACAGTTTTCACCTCAGGAATAGCAGTGACACCAATAGTCTCTGCCAAACTATCCCCTATACTCCTTGTAAATGCAGTACCAGGATACATCCCATTATGAACCCACAATCTGGGAGGATCACCTCCTCGACTCTCTTCATCACCCCAATTCTGGATATCTGGATCCTTGAGCCCTTCTACCTGATCAACACTCAACACCCTTGCCCCACAAAGCTTCACTCTCTCATATTCATCTCTCCGAAACGGCGTCTGATCAGAGGACAAGTCCTCCGCAAGAATGCGGTTCCCATCCTTAACAGCGAGCACCGCTCTCGAATCACCAACATTAGCAACATAAAGGGTGTCACCTATAACAAGTACCGTTATCGCGGTGGTACCACTCATAGAATCATCAATCTCACTACTACGTAATTCTTGGTTCGTTGCCAAGAATGCAGAATTGTAAGCTTGAACAGGGTCCTCCAACAATGCAGGGTCATTTACCAACTTCTCTACCAACCTATCCTTAACGAAATTTGAACAGTGGCTACCAAATTGACCATGTCCATCATAGACACCAAAAAAATGGACATTGGGGTTACCTTGGAGTTGTGTACTAATGCAGAAACTATCTTGGTTTTCTTTCTCAAGTGAGTCAGGGTAGTATCCCCGCTGAGTGAGAAAAGTGTATTCCAAAATGAAGTTGTGGGAAGGAACGGTAGCATGCTTCAGTGATCTCTGAGCGAGAATGCTCTTCCTGTGGCTACGAACGAAGCCAGTTTCTCGGTAATCCCTAGAACCATCCTCTGATGAAGAACGGTCACAACAGCAAAACTTGCCCTGCACACAACCCATGTTTCAAAGAGAGGCTATGCTATCTTGGAAACGACAACACCTGAAACAGAAAGCACTCACTGAAGCAGTTCACAAATAGTAATGTTTAGGCAAGAAGTACAGTGCTAGGTGCTTCTGGAACTCCTCCACATTGTGATAAACAGGTTAAGAGAATCGTCCAGAAACCCTAGAGACATAACTAAGGGTTATGAGCAGGGAATTATGTTGTGCGATTGGGGTGAAGAAAAGGGATTTTGTGGACGAATTTGAAGTGAAAAGGGTGAGAAAAGGAGAACCCTAGAGGAACCGCGGGAAGAAGGAAAAGACAGAGAAATTATTTTGGGTTGTGGAGGCAGAATGCTTGATGGGGTTACCGAAGAAGACAAAAAGTATTGTGCTTTCCGTTTGGTTGGGTGCAGAGAAGAGGGAAACCCGACGCAAAAGGAACAGTCTAGAGAGAAGTTTACAAAAAGAGATTTGGAATGAGAGGGACAGAAGAGAAGTGGAGGAAGAGTAATCGAATTGAGATTCTATTCTAATTCTAATCTAAATCAATTCAAAGTCCCGTCACCATTTACATTGGATATTTGCATGAGTGCCTCCTCCTCCTCCTTCTCCTCTTCCTCCTCCATAGTCCATTTCTCTCTGCGCAATCGCATACAAACTAAATCTTCCAACAAACTTGCAATCAATCTTTTTATTAATTATCAAACATCAGTAAGGGACAAGTCTAATTTTCCATAACATTTTGAGGAAAAATAAATAGACACTTAACAAAGTTCCAATAACCAACCTGACAAAAAAAAAAAAAAAAAAAAAAAAAATATATATATATATATATATATATATATATATATATATATATATATATATATATATATAATATAGCTAAAATTTAGAACACGTATCACCACTCAACATTTTATTTTACCGGTCAAAAGATTAAATAATAATAATAACAGGCAGGAGTTAAGATTTTTCACCGTGAAACCAGAGATATAACTAATGACGTCAACAAATAAAAAATAATTAATATGCATTTTACTACCATATTTTTAACTTTTTTTTAAGTATATTATCCCATTGTTCAACATTCTTGATTGACTATCAATTATTGTAAAGTCATTAATATAAAAGTATATAAAAGAAATTATTAACAAGAATTATGATATTAAATTGATGAATATGTTAAATGTGAATATATATATATATATATATATATATATATATTAATAATAAAGTGATAAAATATAAAAACATTAAAAATCTAAAAAAGTAATAAATTATAAATGTGTAAATGTTACATTAGATTTTTTTTTAATTTAACATTTATCAATATTAAATATGAATGTCAAAATAAATTTAAATTAATATATTTTCAAACAATTTTAACAATTTAGGTTAGATTAAATTGAATAAGATCTTGCTAAAGTGATTTTAGATTATGATTTATATAAATTTAAGTTAACTTAAATTATAAGTTTATAGATTTATACATTTTTTTAAATAAAAATAAAATAATATTTTTTATTAAAAATATATTTATAAAATAATTTAATAAAAAAATTATCTATTTTAAAAATAAATATAAAAATAATTTTCTTTTTAAATTAAATTACTAAATAATAATAATAAAGAATAATTTTTTAAATATTATAATAAATAATATATAATTTATATGTTAAAATATTATATATGAAATAAAATTTAATTTTATTAATATAATTTAAAAATAAAAATATATTTTTTACTTAAATATATTTCTAATTAATTATTTTGATATATTAATAATTTTTTAATTTTTAATTATATCAAAATTCACTCGTTAAATTTAACATAAAATCAGGAAAAATATGATATATTTTAAACTATAAATAATATATATATTTTTTACTTCATCCTTCACTTAGATCAAGTTTGATGGGTATTGTTTTATCAGCTTTATCAATAAGTCATTTAGTTTATTTAATTAATAGATAAAAAAATTAATTATATATTTTATCATTTTATTATCATTATCTAAGTTCATTTTACCACCAAAATCTTTTATTTATTATCATGCTTTTTAATTTTCACGCATTTTATCGTTTTTTATTTACAAAAATGACTTTTATTACTGGCATATGATAAAGCCTGTATAAATTGAAAAAATATGGTAAAGTGTGGAAAAAAATCCAATATTTTTACCGATTAAATTGCTAACTAAATCAATATTAAATATACATACTGCATTTTATTTTTTCGAATAAAATATGAGATAACATATTAATATTGACAGAGCGTACTAAATAAAATGGCAATGATATATTAAAAAACACAAAACCAGATTATATAATATAATTCTTTGACAATTTATGTGTTCATTTTCCATTTTAATAATTGTTCTTCTACTTTATTAAATCAAATTAACAAGAAACACGAATACAATTGTAGGTCATGTACATAAACTATCAAACAATAATAATAATAATAATAATAATAATAATAATAATAATAATAATAATTGAAATCAATAGTAATTATAAACTTTTTATGCCAAAATTCAAAGCGTAATAGGATGAGAGAAATAAAGTGGATACAAATAAAAAATATGAGTAAAATTAGAAGTGTTTTGGTGTATGACAAATAGAGAAGAAACAAGAAAAAAAAGAAAGTGAAAGTAAAAATAGATAAGAAATATAGTGCATATTTCCACCAATTTAAAAAAAAAACTTTTAAATATCCTAAAACAAATAAAGTCATATATATAGATGAATAATAGAAAGTTAAAAACGAGAACTAAACTAGAAAAAGAAAGGAAAACGTGATGTTAGGGAATGTGTAGATGGAGACATTGAGAAGGGATAACGAACGAAAGAACAGAACTTTACCCTAATCTGTTTCCAAAGCAAAGACCATGTAGCGTTAACTTTCATATTTTCAGGGTTTGATTGTGTAACTTAAAACTTGTATTATACCAAACAGGTATACTTATGAAACTTTTTTGAAAGATCTCCTAGTTTATAAAAGGGGAACAATGAATATTATTGTGGTTTCTGTACTTGTCTCCTACTTTTATTATCTATTTGCCTTCTACATGGCATGCAATTATGGCCACATGCACTTTAAGTTTCATAACCCTCAGCAAATGCCACCACATTGCACCACCCTCTGTTACTTCCTACCTACACCTTAAATTCACCACAATAATAAATTTATTTATAAATCTGAGAGATGGAATATTTTCTAAATATACGTATATTTTTAATATTTTTTGTTTAGTGAACCTCGCTGACCAAAGCCATAAGAAAGTGATATAGCGACTTTATTACGTATAATTGCCTTTTTGATTGCTGATCTCCCAGAAGATGGTGTGGGAGAGCAAAAGAGAGAAAATAAATATACACACCTAGTGAAAAAAAAAAAAACTGTAGGAAAAAAAAGTGTGATTTTGTTCTTTAATACTCTACAAACAAAGCATAAAAGACAAGAGAAGAGAAGGAGAATAAAAAGAAAAGTTAAGAGCAGAAAAAAAAAAAACAAAAAAAAAAGGAAAGAAGAAGAAAGAAAGTTGAATTTAACCTCAAACAAGAGCACTTTTACACCCACTAGACATGTTCAAAAATCTTAGGCGTGACTAGCCTAAGTGGGGTGCAATATCATGATCTTCCCAGTATCCCAACCTTTCCCCACTCTCCCTTACCTTCTCCCTTCATTTCTTCTCCCTTTTTGATAATATTCCAAAAGACCAATGAATCACCTTCATCACCACCCTCTTGTACTTCTACATCACTTACCACCCACTTCTCCTATCTTTGTAAACAAGTCAATCCCACATTCATCATCCTCCACAACCAATCACATTCTGCCACGTCACCACCCTCTAAAATTTTCAACTAACTCTAACTTCCTACCTATTATGTTTCTCTCCGCCGTCCTCGCCGCCACGTTTTTTTTTTCTTTAATTTCCGGCTTTAAACACTTTTCCGGCGAGCAGTGAATGTTTGAAAAACGACGGTGCCGGCGGCGGGGAACTGGTCCATTGCGAAGCTCCGACATTTCATGCCCAGAGGCTCCACCGCACTTGCCATCTGCGTCCACATGTCGTTGCTGAAGCCATTGCACGTGGTGGATATGGACATAGTGCCAGGACGGAAAATCTGAACCACCTTCCTCAACACGTGGGCTATGCTGTCGTTGACGGAGCCCACACACTCGAAGCTGGCGTAGCTGAAACCGTCCTCCGGAGTGACGTGGATGGTGGAGTACCAATCCCCGTCCATGCCATTCATGGAATACCCACACGGGTCGAACGCGAAGTCGCAAATAAGTGCCTCCGGGTTGATTTCGTTGATCCCGGTGAGCTTCGTCATCTCCTTTCCGGCAGAATCGCCGGATCTTCCGTCCTCCGGTCGCCGGAAAAACTTGCGGGCGAGGATGGGGTCCAGCTCGGTCATGCAGATCTCCATGGTGAATAGTAACTCATTGTCATGATCATAGGGCATGTGGGGGAGAGTGTGTGCGCTATCATTGGCAGTGAAGACGTGCCAAGAGTGAGAGGAAGATTTTGAGGGCATGATGGAGGCTTTTCTGAAGCAGAGGTTTGAAGGGATTGTGTCCTGCAAGTAGGTGACCTCGTCCTTAAAGCTGGTGTGAGGGAAAGGTTGTGACTTGGGGAAGATGAAGCTTCCTCTGGTGTAGCGGCAAGAGGAGAGGGTGAGGCCTAAGTGGTGGGCGTAGTGGATCAAAGGAAGGATGGATTTCAGAAGCTGGGTTGTGCCACATGTTTTGATGATGATCTTTGTTGGGTAAACAAAGAGGCTTGATTCTGATAGCACGTAGGCATCGAAGTAGGAGTTTCCAACTGCTGAAACGACAGTGCATTGGACAGCTTCAAGGACTTGTTCTAGTGATTCAAAGTCAAGCTTCCTTAGACCAAGTGGGAAGATGGCGGGATCATCGCCGAAGAAATGGAGCTCCAATCGTTTCTCGAACCCTTCGAAACCTGAGACGGCCATTTGAATGAGTGTGTGAGTATTTGGCAGAGGGGATGTAAATGTAACAGAGGAAAAAAAAGGGTAGTTGCAAAGGAAGTTTGAGAGAGGAAAGGTGAAATGTTTGATTGGAATGTTGAGGTGAGAGAAAGGATTGGGGGGTCAATGGGATTTATAGGTGTGTGCGAATCAGAATGAGAGTGTGTAGGATGTAGTAGTGAGGGTGTTTGGAAGAAAGCATGCGGGTGATGGAACCAAGAATCATGATTGTAGGCATAATGAAGTGAATAGGATGATGATGTGCTACAATTTGTTGTTAAGTTTTTTTAGTGCAATCTTCTCTTCCATCCGGGAAAGCAACAGGCAACGGAATTTAAGCCCACGCTTACCATTTTTTGCTCTTTTGTCACTTACTATTCTATCTCTCTATTCTCCACTAACCTCTGCCACTGTTATAGATTTCTAGTTCTCGCTCTACCTAGTTACCAACAGTACGTAGCAACAGTGCTTTTTCTGTCTTCTCTTTCTCCCAAATAGATTTAGGATTCAATTAAACAATTTAAAGATGCTCAATCATCACTTTAAACAGTTCTCAAACTTACTTGATCATGATATATTAGTCTAGCATTATTATCAATTAACTGGCTTTTTAGTGGTTCAAGGAAAAAAAAAATATTTGGAAGCTTGGTTTTTTATACATTTTGGGCTTTCTGGTATGTAAAGTTAGTTCTCTTTCTTGTTTTCAAGAATTTCATCTAGGGGGAGGAGATTTATTTAGATTTGAGGGTTAAGGGGCCCTGTTTTGACCATAATAATTGGTTGAAGTGATGCAGGGAGATGTCAAGCATAACTGCATTGAAACCACATGATAAAGTTCTTTTAAAAATGACAAAGCGAATTTAGTAAGTGTTCTAGATCATGTTCATTCAAAGGAATTTGGATTCATGAGTCAAAATTCAGCATTCAAACATAACTATTTGAATGATAGTTCCAATAAAATAGAAACATAATCATAAACTATAGCTAGATGCTGTATTGTTGTTCTGAAGGACAATAATTATTGGCTCTGTGGAGGTGATAGATCATTCAAATTAGAGCTACATTACTACTAGTAGAGGTTAAAAACACAGCAAAACCCTGTTAAATTGCTACCAAAAAGTGAAATCGGAAATAAAAGCACCAATCACTTGGGGGCTTTGTTTGATATGAGCACACTCTAGATAGTACTGATAATGGCTACTGCATAATGGAAAGGTGCAAACACCTCAGATGATGGAGACAACATTGTCTATTCCTAGGAGAGCAGGCGTTAATTAACAAAAAACTTGACGTGCCCAAAATGTCATCCATATTTGGGGTTAGAATTATAATTATTATTATGCAGAAGATAAAAAAAAAAAAAGAAAAGAAAAGGGAAATAAAAGGAAGAAGGAAAAAACAAAAGGAATCAGGCGTGGCATGCAAATAATGAGAATATCCTTGAATGAGGGAGGCCCGTACGTGAAATGAAAAGGCACTCGCATCATTTTTATTCTTCATGCAATTTCATGAAGCTAAGTGGCATTATCATTTTTTATCTATTTTATCAACTTGTTTTCTGTATTTATCAAGCATGCATGCAACCGTATCAGCATCGAAATTTAAAAAAAGGATTCTCTGTATCTTCCAAGTGATCGGTTTTAAAAAGCTTGGGGCGTAGAAAACAATTGCTCTTTAAATTTTAAAATATTTTTGGTGACTTATGTTACAATACCATGGGATACACCTGAGTCTAACACTTCTTTTAATTTTTTTATTGTATTCTGCGAGACAGCTTAGAAATATGGTGTTTAGGCATAATTTTTTTCTGGGCACCCCCAATTCAATTATAATAACTCTATGCCGGACATTAAGTTGATTTGGATCATAATGTTTAACTCGTTTGATTAGGGAGGAACAGTAATTGCGAAGTAAAAGGGAGTAATTAGTACTATATGGTCTTTTAGAGGAAGTTTTTTCTAGCTGATCTCTGCCTATACCTAAAACTGTCTTCATCATCATGTAAGTGGTCTCCTTAACTTCCAATTTAAGAGTATTGTCCAGATTATATCAATTATTCAGCATAATCACTACTACAGAAGCTTCCCCTCAATTAGTATAAGGGTAAGTGAAAAGAGATATTTTGTTTGAAAAGTAAAGAAAATACACAAAAAGTTTGTACACTGGAACCAAATGGTAGGAGGGGAATTATAAAGAAAAAGAAAGAAATTGGCGGTAAAAAGTAGCAGAGAAAGGTTGGGGGAAGGTAAGGCAATGATGAAAATTTGTGAGTTCAGAATCAAAATTCAGTTTTGAGAGGTAGAAATGATGCAGAATGTATGGCCTCATGAATAAAATTTATGGGTGTGGCTGGCAGCCTCCATTATGAGCACAATCCACCTCTTCTTAATGCATGCGCACCACCAAACTCAAAACACTATCTCCTAAGCCCACACTTTCACTCTCTCACTCTCACACGCAAGGTAGCCAACCCCAACATACCAACACACACTAACACAACACACACGCTTTACAATTTTGCATATACAGTCACCCCTCGCGCAATATCCCGCATCAAAAAAGGAAAAGAAAAGAAAATGGTCAACCAAGTTGCGGAATCAAATCTTACTTAAAAAAGTCTGAAACAAATTCTCAACTAAAATTACACTTTTTCAGATAAAGAGTTTGTAGCCGAAAATCCTAGACCTCAGAATTAATAGTTGGTAATTTGAAGAGACAAAGAAAAGGATATGTCAAAAACGAAAAAAAGGTTAAAAGTTAAGAGTTGAAACTGGAAAGAAAGCCTCCTTAATCAGAAAATTTGACCCCACTAAAAGTACTCAAACATTTCTAAAACTAAACAAGCTTGAATTGAAGGGCAGCACAGCACCTCCTTCTCCTCCTCCTCTTCCACGTCACCCCATTGTATCACACACCCCCATCCTACCACTTCTCATTCCTAGCCCAAATCATGATAATAATACAAACCCCAAACCCATGATTGGTCCCACTAATTGCCCCCCGACAAGCACCGTGGATGGTCCCATAGGACTACACATCATCTAGTATGTGTCCAACTTCATGGAACACCGGGGTCCATGTTTGTTTGTGGTGTTGATTAGATTTGGGAGACATGTGGTCCCCACCATGCCCTTAACTGCGAGACAGTGGCATTAGTTGGTAAGGAGCAAGCGGGCTTAAGCCGCCATACATGCTAGCACGCGCAGAATTTGGCACACATGCGGCAAATTGGCTCACAAACACACACAAATGGGTTAGTATATGGTATGGGTTGAGAATTTTTTTGGTGTGCAAAAGCACAGAACAACTAATGAATGAGCATCACAGAAGTGGTACTGTATCATGCGCACAAATATTGGCAAAAATGCTTGCCAGGGTGCCCACCATGCTTCGACCCAAAATTCGGAAAGGGTTCCCTTATCATGTTTTTAGTATGAGTTAGTGCAGACTGAAGAAGCCATGAAAGTTGTTGGTCGCTTCATTCATTCATTCATGTTTATCTTTGTATCTAGGCACATTCTACTCGAGCTTTCGAGGAGTCAAGATCTCATTTGTGTGGGTCTGTCTCATTGGTCTTATTCCTTTCCATTGACTTGTATAAAAAGAAAAGGAATACATCATGTGCAGTGCAGGATAAACAGGACTTTAATCTCGTGCACTTAGTGGTACAACCTATTGGACGAAAATCAACAAATTAAATCTTCTTATGCCCCGAGACCCAGGTGACAATGGTTACCAAAGTAGCCTTTTTGATCATTGTATTAACATGCTTAAGGAAATTTTTGGGAAAATCAACCATGCAAATATATAATATAAAGAGGCCTCATCCGTTGCTGAGTTGGATTGGTTTCATTTTCTTAAAAGATAATTTATTAAACAGGTATCAACTTAGAGGAGACCATATAATGGTCCATTTTGTATTGAATATGACATTTATCAAAAAGAAGATTAGCAGTAGTAAATAGTAATCTAGAACTAAAAAGATGGCTCCCACAAGAATCATTCCTCATAGGTGTGCTTAAGATTTTTATTGAAGCAAACAAGGCATTTTCTGAACTTTTAAGTGGCCAATCTCATGGGAAGTCCCACAATAACAAAAACAAATAGAGAGAGACCATGGTCCCTTACCACAAGCCAAGGTGACCAAATTATTGTAGTTCTTTTGTAAGGAATAATAATGTGATACCTCGAGCCCTGCCAATGCCAGGGCTAAATCTATCTCGAAAGATGAACATAACCATACAAATAGAAAGAGAGAGAAAGGCCACAATGCACAGCATATGATAAATCCCCCCCTCCCAACACGCCACATCATTCCTCTCGTGCTTTAACCTAACCAAACCTCTCTCATTTTCAATACAAATGCATGTCTTTGTCTTTTTTTTTTCTTGCAAAATTCGAATCTCTCTTGATTGCTTCACCCCAAGCATCATTCTGCTGCGTGACCCTCACTGCCTTCCTCTCTCTCCCCCTGTTTGTCTGTTCTGTCCTTATTGGTTTACTTTCCCGTACAATACAAGTATGCTGTACAGAGGAGTCACACCCAATCATGCCCTCTTTCACCTCACCGCACACTCAAATTCATGTGCCAGATATGTTGTTCAGATTTCCCAAGTTTTCTTCCTTAAAAATACTTGTGCGATTTATGGAAACTTTTTATTCCACTTTTGATAACAGAACCAATTACAACTTGTATCCAATAAACAATTGAATTTGATTATTTGAGGTGGCAGCAAAAAGATAAAGTGGCCATGCCAGAGGTTGACGTGGCGCTGACATGGGACATGACATATCATGTTACCATGACACTTGCAGTTGCAGATGAGAGACTTTGTATGTGGAGTGGGTGCGGGAGCTTCGAATGCTGTCAAGTTTTTGTCTTTGGTTTGACCTTTGTGATAGGAGTTGTAGGGGCCAGGAGTGTAACCATGTAAGTACAGAGGCAGAAGAAGCATTTTTAAGGAGTTGGTAGAAGAGAAAAGGAAGTGTGTGTGACCTCATGCTGAAATTAAGGATAAAAATCCTGGAAGCCATTTTATGGTGTCTATGATATATTGGAGATCATGGCTGTGACTGTTTCAATTTTGAAGTGGTTGGTAGGAGTAGGGCCTTGCCACTACCAGTTTGTGATGAGGAAAAGTGATAAGAGAGCTACTTCACTAGGCTCATCTTCATGCTTTTACTGTGTTAAGGAGAGAATTTATATTGCAACTTGGTTGTTCAGTCGCTGCTACATTGTGCTGGTATTCTTCTGAATATGGTGTGAACTTGCTGCAGTTCATCTAGCTATTTGACAAAAATATCTCATTTAATTTAAATCACAGATACACTTTTAGTTTTTGTTTTTTCGTTTAAATTTAATTTAGTTCTTTGTTTTTTTTAAATAATTAATTTAATTATTTATCTTTTATATTTATTATTTTTAAAAATTAAAAACATTATTTAATAACAAAATATGAATAGGCTTATAAATAATATATTTTAAAATAATTTTTTTCAAATAAAATATTTATCAATTTATTTATTCTAGTATTTTTATTTATTATTCATATATAATTTTTCTTTTTCTTTTTATTTTTTTCTCTTTTCTCATTCACCTATTTTTTAATTATAATACTAATAAACAGATTTATTTATTATAATGATAAATAAATAATTTAAAATTATTTTTTCATAATAAATAATTATTTATTTAATTAAAAATATTAAATATTTATGAATTAAATATATTTTTTATTAACAATTTAATCTAGTTAGACTATAGTATGATAGTTAGTTAGGTGAGGTAATTATAAAAATTATTTATTACAAAAATTACTTTTAAAATAAATATTTTTTTAATAGTTATAATATAACAATAATATTTGTAATATCTTAAATTTATTATATAATATTTTTTAAATATAATATATTAAATTGTAGTATTTGTGGATTGTTTAAATATTTTTTATATTTTAGAACTAATAAATTCATTTTATTAAATTTTAATTTAATATTTTTCATTGAAAAATAAGATGAAAGGAGAAAAAAAAGAGAAAAGAGAAAAGAGAAAAAAAACACTAAATAATTACAGATAAAATAGAATAATAAAAAGTAAATTAAGAGATAGAAAATAAAAAAATAAATGAAGATAAAGAAAAAAACTATATTTTATTTAAAGAATTTATTGTTGTTTATTAAATTTTGTATATCAATCTTGAAAATATCAATAAATAATATTTATTTTTAAATATAGTATTTATAAGATTGATTCAACAAAATATTAAAAATATTTTTTTAGTTAAAAAAATAAAATTAATAAAATATGCTTTATAATTTTTTTACCTAAACTTAATCTTTTTATTTATTTATTTATTATTATTATTATTATTATTAAGTTATTGAAATTATTTTTTAATATTGTAATTGATATTATTATCTTTATTTAAAATAGTTTTTAAATTAGAATAGTCAAATAATTTTTATTAACTTTATTTAAAATTTATTCCTTTAAAATACATTTATAAATTTACTTTTAAAAATAAAAAACAAAATTAAATTAAATAATTCGATATTGTATTAAAATTAATACGATTAACAATTCAAATATAATATATACAACATAATATTTATTGATGATGAAATCAATGCTGGGTTTTTATAAAAATTCACCTTGAGTTCTTAAGTGAGACCCCACAGTGTCATATCATATTTAAGCAACTCTTTTCAAATTTTTACAAATTTACTTTCATGTTGGGTTCTTACAAGCAACTCACCATTCAACTATCACTTTTAACTTTAATGGGACCCATTATGAGCAATCCTCCCTTATTTGTTACCTTATCTTATTTGTTCAATTCTGTTGATGAGACCAGCAAGAATAAATTAAAGAAAATTGGGAAAAACAACTCTTAGAAATGTTGTTTTATAAGATATGATGTTTAACTTTTTAAAATTATCGTTGTTACGTTATATTGTTCCAATGACAGTTTCTTATAAACAATGTTATTTATAAACAACTGGTGGGACCATAAACCACTCTTGATAAAGTTACTCTTACACGTGAAATTAATAAAATAATATTTAAAAATTAAGAAAAAAAAAACCATTTGGGAATAATATTCAAGTTTTTGTGTTTGATTTAAAAACTTAAAATTTGTTGAAAGATTTTATTATCCTAAAGATTTTTTATCAATATGGTCGAAAATTAAATGGTTTTGTTGAAACATGGCTAAGAATGAAATATTTTTATGTGGTGAATTTTACAACATCAAATCTGATTTAGTGTATGTTTTCACTGCACGTTTTTCTGCAATTGAAGGAGAATTTTAGGTTGACTCTCTCGTACATGTTAAAACAATGTTTCATTTTAAAAAAAAAAAAAACTGGGTGAAGTTTGCAAATCTAAGAAATTTGTTTTCTACTGTACAAGTTTAATATGACCCATTCCCATATTCTTTTTTATAGACATGTATCCTTGATTTTTATTTTCTCAAAATATTCTAAGTTTTATATGAGATTTTATAATATAGAGTATAAATTTAAATTTTTTGAAATATATATGTTATATTTAATTATTAATAATTTTTTTCTATAAGTTATTTTAAAATTTTAAAATGTAAAACTCGAATAAAAAAGTAAAACCGAGTTAAAAATAAAAAATTAGACTGTTTTACATATTCAACAGTTAAATATCCTCTTTTCATAATTCTTTAAAATTTTATATTTAAATTTAAATAATTAATCAATTCAATTAATTAACTAAATTTATGATACAAATTAAATCAATATATCATTCATATTAAATCATTAAATTAAGATTTAATCAATTTCTAATTAAATTCTAAAATTAAAAAATACGTAATTTTTGTTCTATACTTAACTCTAAATGTAAAAAAGTAATAACTAACCTAACTCGTCTTAAAATATAATATATATCGACTTATTCATGTAATCTAAGATTAAAAAAAAAAAAACGTAGTTATGAACTTTCTGTGATTGATCAAATTTATATCAAAAATTAATGAACATGACTAATCAAACTTATAACAAAAAATAAATAAAATGAAACTTTCATAATTAATCAACTTTATATAAAAAGCTAATTAAGATGGAGTATTGGTGACTCATCTTACAAAAAATAAAAAATTAATATCAAATTATTTTTAAGTTATACATTAATTAGGTTTTATCTAATATATATATATATATATATATATATATATATATATATATATATATTGATTTGAGTTATATATTGATACATTAATTGGTTAAAAGTGTATTCAAACACCGTAGCAACTGAGACATTTGAAAATTATTTAGCTTTTTCTATTATAAGTGTGCACAAATTTCATTCAGTGTTGTATGAATTATAAGATATGAATAAGATAATAAGGTAATATGAATAAGGTGATGAGAATTGTTTGCTTGTACCAGAATCCGAGTTTTTCTTTTTCTAATCAAACTTTCCCAATTATAATTTTTTAATGGAAAACAACCATATATCATTTTGATAACTATCCAATCTGACTTATATTATTTATTAATCCGAGACTTTCAATTATGGGCCTAGAGGTAGACCCACACTATATCCCATATACATACCCAAGACATATCATAAATTAATGAAATTATTATTTAATGCTATAAAAGAATCATAACATTTACCAGTTTTTGAAAAAAATAAAATGTCAAAACAAATTATCGTCCACAAAAATTTGTAAGAAAATTATAATATTATTTGGATTACATAAAGTAAGTAAAAATTAGATTTTTTTATAATAGATAAACAAATCACCTTTAAAAAAAATAAGGACAATATTTAGCTAAACAATAATTTTTAAAATTTTTTATTTTCACTTTTAATCATAAAATGCAATATAAAGTTTATATTGAAAACAATGTACCAATAAACTGGACCTGCATTATTTGGTCATTAAACACAGCTCATTTATAGGAAAATGAAAAAGTATATTTTTTTTGAAAAAAAAATAAAAAATATTATTTTACATAATAATATATATCTTTTATTTTCCTTTTATGAATATAAAACAGAATAAAATGTTATTTAAAAAAATTATTTTCACTTAAATAAATAAATAATTACTTATTTTTATATTTAAAATTTTAATATATATATATATATATATATATATATATATATATTACTATTTAGATGGAATGTCTTCAATTAATTATAAAAAAAATAATATACTTTAACTAATAGAATGTCATAAATAAATTAATATATTTTAATTTTTAAGATGATATTATTTATTAATTTAAATTTTTTAAAGAAAATAAAATTTTATAATAAAAATATTATATGATTATATACCAAAATATATGTTATTAAAATAATACATATTAATTTAAAGATATCAATTTAAAAATTATTTTATTAAAAAATATATTAATAATTTTATGAAGAATTTGATAATTAAATAAATATTTAATTTTAATTCTTATTTTTTTTAAATAAACACTTTCATTTATTTTCTTCTATTTTTTTTTTATATTTCACTCTTTTTCAAGAGATCGTAAATTTGGAACAAACTTCACATTGTGAATAATGAATTCATGTAGTGACTTTATTTACAATATGAAAAAATTACAAATGTCACCATTTAATTGTTTGGATTAATTGATCATATCCATCTATTTAATTATATCCAACAGGTATAATTTAACTTGTGCATCATGAATTGTTATATGCAGGTGTGGTGGGTGTTTCGCACATTAATCACTACATGTAAATGAAGAACATACGCTGAGAATTTTGCATTGGATGGTGTTCAATGCTTATGTATAAATAATACGTATACATATAATGTGACTATTATATGTTTAAACATAATTCATTATAATTTAAACAAAAGAGAAAATAAATACAACTGTATTAATATATGATGCTTAATAGCATCCTTATTCCTCTAAAATAGATTTAGAAAAAATGTTGATCTGCTATCATTTTGTTGTTCTTGTCTCAGGCAACCCTGGTGACTCTTGTGTTGACCCTGGGTCCAAATGAAGTGTGAAGTGAGAGTGTGAGATATTGATTAGGGAAGAAAAAGAAAAGAAAAGACAAAGTCCAAATGAAGAAAAGAATCGAAATAGAGATTTGAATTCCTAGAAAAGAAGGAAGGTGTTGTCATGAATCTAAAATAGTGAATGGGAAGTCAAAGATAGAGTCCGAGAGATGCTCTCTTCCTCAGAAATGGGGAATGAGTCGCAATCTCAATCATCAAATCTCCCAGCAGAGGCACGCATTGCCTTACCCCTCTTCAAATCAAATCCTCTTTTGCTATATTCTCTGATTATAATAATCATAATTCTCACTCTCAGAATTAATTGCGTTGTTGATCGAGGACAACAACACCTCAAAGACAACCTTCGTTCGACAGGATGGTCTTTCGGAGCTTCACCTCCCTAATTGGCCTCCTGTCCCTCCTCTTTCTCCTCCTCCCCCCCGTCCCCGCCATCCGCCTCGGCCTCGTCCGCCGTCCCATGCCGGAGATCCCGCTCTTCCGGGAGGCCCCCGCCTTCCGCAACGGCGAGGGCTGTGGCTCCTCCCCCGCCCACGTCATCAACGTCGCCATGACCCTCGACGCCAACTACCTCCGTGGCACCATGGCCGCGGTTCTCTCCATGATCCAGCACTCAACCTGCCCGGAAAACCTCTCCTTTCACTTCCTCTCCGCGCACGACGACGCTCCCGAGCTCTTTTCCAGTATCAGGTCCACGTTCCCTTATCTCAACATGAGGATATACCGCTTCGATTGCAACCGGGTCCGCGGCAAGATTTCCAAGTCCATTCGCCAGGCCCTCGATCAGCCCTTGAATTACGCTAGAATATACCTCGCGGACACTATTCCCGAGGACGTGAAACGTGTGATATATTTAGACTCTGACCTGGTGGTTGTGGACGACATAGCCAAGCTCTGGGGCGTGGACATGGAAGGGAAGGTGGTGGCTGCGCCCGAATATTGCCATGCAAACTTCACGTTGTATTTCACGGACAACTTTTGGAACGACCCGGTTCTGTCGAAGACGTTCGATGGAAGGAGGCCATGTTATTTCAACACGGGGGTGATGGTGATGGACGTGGACACATGGAGGAAGGAGAGGTACACGGAGAAGGTGGAGGAATGGATGGCGGTACAGAAGCAGCAGAAGAGGATATACCATTTGGGGTCTCTTCCGCCGTTTTTGTTGGTTCTGGCGGGGAATATTAAAGCGGTTGATCATAGATGGAACCAGCATGGTTTAGGTGGAGATAACTTTGAAGGAAAATGCAGGAGTTTGCACCCTGGTCCCATCAGTTTGCTGCATTGGAGTGGGAAGGGTAAACCCTGGTTGAGGTTGGATTCTAGGAAGCCATGCATCGTGGACCATCTATGGGCTCCTTATGATCTATATCGCTCGTCTAGACACTTTTTTGAAGAATAGAAAATTAATGAACCAACGAAATGAGGTGAGGGGGTTCGTTCAAGAGAAGAAGAAAGATCAATGAAGCAGCTATGTTAATCAATGCCAATGGAGAGGGGTGCGGCTGGATATATATATACAACATTATATATTTTCAGTTTTTCTAACTCAAATTATTTGGCTGACCAAGGAGGAACTAACACACCCAACACCGTACGTGTAGCTCTTAGCCAAGCACTGGATCGGAGTTGTAGACATTTTTTCCTTCCTCTGGTTCAGTATTTTTTTATTCTTTCTTTTTCTTTTGCTTCATAGTCATCGGAGAAGCATCACAATACACAGACTATGCTCATTAGTTTAACACTCTCAACATTGTGTATTGGTTGGGTTAGCGCATCCTAAGAGCTCCAACTTTTTGCAAAATTGTACCCAATTTGGTGTATGAGTAGTGTAAATATATATCATGACATTTCTTATGTTACGTTGATGGCCAAACCCTTCACAAATCTTATCTGCTATGTTCCATCACTCATACTCACTTTTTCCATTCCTCTAATCAAATATGAAGTCAGGTAATCGAGGCAAGGTGTGTTACAATTTACAATAAGTTTCGGTCTCTTTTTAATCATATATGACACAACACTATGCACAAATAATAACATAAGACTTGAACTTCATATTTTATGTTTCGGAAACTAATCTAACAATTTTCACCTGCAAAAGATACTTCCTAATACATCCTGAATAAGAAAATGTATAATTTGGCTGTGTCCTTTAGATTAAAATATGATAAGTCATTCCCAACATAACATTGAGAATATATCTTAATTTCAAACACCCATTTTACATTTTATTTTATTTTATTACGAGTAATATGCACCAACATCTCATATTTTTAAACATTTTTTTTTATTTTTCTATCTCTCATATTATAAAATTTATGTTTTCTCCTTTTCAAATGTCATTTATTATTTATTATTTTAGGTGTCAATGCATATATTTTTCTTTTATTATATCACTTATTATATTTATTTATTTTTCTTATATTTTCTTTCTCTCCCAATATTCACCATGTCATTATTTTTCTAACATCAATTCTATAGATAGTTTGGGGGTGTTTGAATATTATGCTCTTTTCTAGAGTATTTTAAAAAATGTTATTTAGTGACACCATTTTAAAAAATATAAAGACAATTTTAAGAACTAGAGAGAGAACCAAAAGATCCTTTGAATTTATTCTAAGAATAAATTCTTAAAAGTAAAATACATAAAGCTCGTTTGGTTTATGAGTTTTTAAATTTTATTTTAGAATTTATTTATGTATCTTTGATCAATTCAACTCCTAATACATATAAGTAAAGTTTGATTTAAGTCATATTTTATTTGTATTATAACCAACTACTATTATATATTCTATAATTCTTTAATAGTGCGAAAAATATTTAGACATACAAATTTACATATATATATATATATATATATATATATATATATATATATATATATATATATATATATATATATATATATATATATATATATATATATACCACAACAGATGCGCAAACACCATCTAAAACACAAACACTCATCCGATACCTATTAATTTTTTCCCCTTTTGTTAAATATTACATAATAATACAAAATATTATAATTCACAGCATGAAATGTTTTTAAGTTTTTTTTTACTGTTTGGATGTACATGTTTATAAGTTTTTCTTTTCAGTTCTTATTATTCTTTTATTTAAAAAGAAAATATTTTTAAAATTTCTTGTAACAAAAATGTTTTAGGTTTAGTAAAAAGATAATTCAAATTTTAACCATTAAAACCTGTAAGTTCAAGGAATGAAGTTTTAAAAGAAAAGAAGGAAAAAAAAACCATTGAATATATATATATATATATATATATATATATATATATATATATATATATATATATAGCTTGTCTGTTTATTACTTTTAAAAATAAATTTCAGTTTTTTAATTTTTAAATATTAATAAATTTATTTGATAGCTATTTTGTCCATTTTTTTAATTAGTTATTAAAAACTAAAATTTATTAGATGTATTTTTTATTTTCACTCTCGAAATCAATTTGATTTATAAATAAAATATATTTTAAAATTTAAGTTATATTTAAAAAATAATCCTAATGTAAGATATTCCATCTTTATATATATATATATATATATATATATATATATATATATAATATAATATAATATTTTTAAATTATATTTTATAAAATGGATTACTTTAGGATAAAGAGTAATCGGCGAGCCAGAAAATTATGGTTCAGCATAATTTTTTTCTATCAACTTTAATAAAACATTCAAATATCTACGGTTTTCAAACTCAATAAAATAAAAACAGAATTATTATTTTAATAAAAATTCTGACGTTGTTTTTAAAATATTATAATTGAAAAGATTACGAGAATATATATATATATATATATATATATATATATATATAAGAAAAATAAATAAATAAATATGACTTATGTGGTTGATTATTATTTAAAATTTATAAAAAAATTTAAAATTGATACTAATCTCTAGTGAATAATATAGAAAATTATCTTTTAAAATTGATGGTAAATATTATGATTTGTAATGATGAAAAAGAAAATTATTATTCCATGAATGATTACAAGAGAGGTATTTATACACTATGATAACAAGAGATAGAACTGATAGATTATATCAACAACAATCATAACATAATATAATAAACTAATGACTAACTAACTGTTTTCACAAGTTTGAAAGCAATGAGGAGAGATTAATGATAATGTGAAACATGTCCTTACATTCCCAAGAGATGATTTTAATGATAATTCAAGTCAACAACATTCAAGACTCAAACAAGTCCAAGATATGATTTAATAAAGATTCTATTCAAGATTAAAGCAAACCCAAGATGATTGTTGAAGACTAGATAAAATCTTACAATACTGAATATGGATGTACAAGTTGATGAAGTGATATTATGCATAAGCCTCCAAAGCACAAGTGTCATAAAATTTCGTAACATAACACTGTCAATCAATTATGATGCATAAGAAATGGAAAACAATTTTCTCTCTATCATAATTGATTATACGGGTAACATAATCAATTATGGCAGTTCAAATTTGAAAAATAGATCTGTTTTGAAGAATAAATATTTTTGAATACACCCTGATTTTTCTCTATGAAATTATTAATGACCAACGACTATTTTCTAATGTTATTTTCCTATTTAAATGAGTTTTGATGGAAAATAAAAAACACATAATTACAGAATTCGAAAATATAATTTACATTCAATCAGTTTTGAGAAAAGAATTCAGAGCAAGGCAACAAAGATATTTTACATGTTTTGAGAAAATTCTCTTCTCCATTGCCACAGAAATATTTTACCAAAATTCTCTTCTTCATTGCCTACTGCTCTTTCATTGTTAATCAAACTTGTTCTTGGAGGTTGACATTCTACAGGCTTTTACAATTTGTTGTCTCCATTACCCAAGTGCGACTGTTCTTATTTTATTACCTTCATCCTTTGTGAACTTAAGTGATTGATTGTTAAATTTTGTGTTTAGGGTTTAAGTAGTCACTGTCATTCTGTTGTATTTTTTTTTTGGGTTTCCTGTGTGGAAACTGTTCATCCCTTTGATTTGTTCAGGGAGGTGTTTTCATCCTTTGATTTGTTCAGAGGAGGTGTTCATCCCTAGTAAGATTCTAGGGAGGTGTTCATCCCTAGTGGGATTCTAGGGAGGTGTTCATCTTAGTGGGATTCTAAGGAGGTGTGTTCATCCTTTGATTTGTTCAGAGGAGGTGTTCATCCTTAGTGAGTTTCTAAGGAAGTGATTGTCTTTTGAATTAGTTTACTTTTTGTTGAGTTGACTGTAATTTGTGAATTGAATTTAAAAGATAGTGAATTGGGGTCACTCTTGTGTTAAGAGTTGACTGGAAACTGGATGTAGGGTTGACTATACTCAAACCAGTATAAATCACTGTGTGCTCTTCTCTTTCCCTTAGCTCTTTTTCACTGCATTACTTTTCTTACGCCCCTTATTTTTATCTCTATCTTGTTGATATTTTATCTCTCTGATTATATCGCTTCCGCTTTATCTTTGTTCAATCTGATAATTAAAATTTAATTAATAAATATTGGACATCTTAAAATAAATTTTTAATTTGGCATCTATTTTAATTTGTGCATCTATTCACCCCTCTAGATGTCATTTGTCTAACAAAGTTCCCTTACATCCCATTCAAACTCATGGTGGAAGTTGATGAAACTATGAATTTGGATCTAAATATTGTAAATTGAGGATTTGAAACAACTTTAGTGAGATATCATTAACCTGAAATTTAGCAGTAGATGAACAACAACAAACTCTTTTGACAAGACTTAATCACGAACAAAATACAGGTCCAACTTAAAAAGCTTTGTGCAAGAAGGTATGGCAAAATTTGTAACAAGGTGGACAACACTTAAATTATAACAATAATTTCTTGGCAACGCAACTTCTTGAACAAATTCTGTAGCCATAAAATATAAGCAATGGCAACTGTTAATCCTTTGTACTCAGCCTTAGTACTACTTCGAGAAACAACTTACTTCCTAGACGACCACGATACAAGATTTTGTCCAAGGTACACACAATAACTTGTGGTAGACTTTCTATCATCATGGTTTGAACCCCAATTTGAGTCACACAAACCTATGCTATGTAGTTACGACAAAGGTTTTATGTGCAAGCCATAACCATGGCTTTTGAAACTTCCTTCAATCCTCAAGCATTTCAAACCCTGATCTTAATCAAATTTGATGATGAGAATTTTATGGTTTGGAAACAACAAATTCTTGCCACAATTCGAGGTTTGAAGCTCAACAAATATCTTCATGAAGAACACATTCCAAGGAAATTTGAGTCCAAAGAACATAAAAAATCTGGTATGATCAATGAAGATTTTCTCACTTTTGAACAATAGGATTAGTTACTCGTTGTTTGGCTCTTTGCATCAATGTCAACACAAATCCTTACAAAGTTGGTTGGTTTGGAGCAATCATGGTAGACTTAGAGAAGATTAGATGTCTATTATATGTCTCAAACTCATGCGAAGGTAAAAAAAATTTGAAGGTACAATTGCAAATGATGAAGAAAGACAAATTAATTTAAGAATATTTGCCTCCAATCAAGAAAATAATATATTCATTTACTGCGATTGGTTATGTGATTTTGATAAATGATCGTATAAAAGCGATTTTAGATGACTTGTCTAAAGAATATGATTTTTGTGTTACTTCTTTTACATTGTGTTTAGATTCATACACTATTGATGATATTGAGACACTTCTAATGACTCAAAAAGAGAGTTTTGGAAAACACAAAAAAGTTGACTTAGATATGATTTTGGCTAATATTGCGCTTGGACCTAGTTATTTTTCTAGCAAAGGAAGAGGAGATAATTAGAATTTTAGAGAAGGATATCACAATCGGTGGTAGATCAAAGTTTTGTGGTGGTTGATAAACACATTTTATCAATAATTTTATTAATATAATTTATATATATTTAGTATATTTTCTTAATTAATTATTAATAGTTAATATAATTTTTGTAAAAGGGAAATAAAAATATATTTTCTTAAATTGTACATTTTAACTAATTATTTATTTACTTTTGCAGGAATGATATATTAAAGAAAATATAAAAGCAAAATCAGATGGAATCCGCTTAGCAGAATTAGTCCAAAGAGCTCCTCTTCTGAAAAGTAGCAATCCACTGAGCACTCCTACATCTGTTCAATGCTTTTTGATTCACTGAGCGGAATCTGTCAAAACTCATGTAACTAATTTAACTGTAAATCCGTTAAGTGTTTTCCAATCTGCTGAACAGATTCATCGAATTTCATTTCTGCAGAATGTTATTTTGAGTTCTATTATGTAGTTATGAGCCTTTATCATTTCATATGTCTTTGTTATTGTATAAATAAGCCTTTGAAGGAAAAAAAACATAAGTTAAGTTTTAATCACAAGTTCATTTTCAGATTTCTCAAGTTTACTTTTCAAGTTCTCTAGTTTTTAGTAATGTTTAACTTCCAAGTCTGTTCATGGAGCTTCTTGTACAAATAATGTTATGAAGTTTATCAATTCAAGTTCTCTTTGATCATATTTGTTTCATCTTCTCTTTAATATTTCATTTTACTTTCTGTTTTATCTTCTTCAATTTAAGTTTTTACTGTTTTCATGTTATTTTTGTTTTCCATATATATGTTAATCATGTTCTCATTCGTTTTTGTTGTTAATTCACCAATTAAAACTTATTTTATATGGTTTAGATTTGATTCTTAATGATTATAACCGATTATAATCTATTACAATCAATATAATTGAGGTTATTTGATTGAATATCTCTTTACATTACAATTCAACTTCTAGATTTAAGTGATTGTTTGATTTAGAAATTGAATTATGAATACGAATTTCAAATAGATTGTAATTGATTGGAACGGTTATGAATTTGTTTTTGTGATTGCAAGACAATTCCGTAGAAACTAATGATAATCATAAAAACAAGTTTATGATTAAAGAATCAACAGAGTTTCTTCATTGTTGTTAACCAATATTCAATTTAATTTTCATTTTAATTATGTTTTTACTTTCAAACTTTGTTTACAATGTTTCTAGCAACTTTTATAGTTTTGTAGCAGTAAATTTAATTCAATGCTTTTATTTCTCTGCATTTATAGCTTTCATAGATTAGACTAAGCTTTCTTTAGTGCTTTCATTTATTGCATAGTTTAGGTTTATTATTTTCATTTACATGTTTTCATTTATTATTTTTAACATATTATATTACTCGTCAATTTACTTTTCTACATTGAAAATTACAAAATCCCCGTATTTCTTGGCTTTTGACATTAAAAATCAAGATTTAAACAAAACCAAGCAATTCTCCTCGAGGACACGACCTAGGCCAACCCTAATATTGTATTATGTGTTGATTTATGAATTTATTGAAATTTATTATTATAAGATATTTATGGGTCACCTAAGGATGATTAGTTGTTCTTATAATTAATGGATATGAATGTCGGTAATGTATATATCCAAAGATATATTACTAATTAATACATATATGTTTATTAATATTATTAGCATAATTATGATTTTATGTATTAATGTATCATCCAAAGGAGAACATTAGTATGCAGATAATGTTTGTTTGAATTAGTATTGTATGTTTAACTTATGACTCAAAGTATTAAATGTTAAGCATATGTTAATTGCAATATCTGTTCATGTATCTTTACATTTGATGAAGAAGTTAATAAGAAGAATATTGGAAGTCTTGACTAGAAGATTTGATGAAGTAAAAAAAAATATTAAAAAAGAAGATTATGTGTTAGTCTATTAGTGTGTCTACATCTACATTATGTAGGTATAAACATCTATCATCTCCTCTAGCATGGGTTTATGTCTTTTACAAAGTATAAAGTGCCACAAGTATTTTTAATTTGTTAAAAATTGTTTTAATCAATATGTTCTTCGATTGTGAGTTATAATCAATATATTTTTGAAATAATCGATTAAAAACACTTAAAAAACTTGAAAACACTTTCTAAATTTTAATTGATACATTTACGAAATAATTAATTAAAATCACTTAAACAACTTGAAAACACTTTCTACTACAGTTTTAATCGATATATTTTTAAATTAATCAATTAAATTCACTTAAGAAGCTTTATAAAACTCTCTGCTAGAATTTTAATTGAAATATCTTCAAAATAATCGATTAAATTCATTTAAGAAGTTTTAGAAAACTTTCTCGTCATAATTTTAATTGATATAACTTCAAAATAATTTATTAAATAATTTTTGTATCATGATTTTAATCGATTAAACCTCCTTTTTATCAATTAAAACGTGTTGAAAAAATTAGTAGAATCTTTTTAATCAATTAAAAAATTCATAAGTTAAATTCATTTAAAGCTAAGTTGTTTTAATTAATTAGAAAGCAAATTAATCAATTAATCATATCAGTTAGTTTGAAAAATCTCTATATAAATAGATTTTCAGCAACGTTTAAAAACACATATTTGAGAAATCATTCAAGCAATCTTTAGAGATCTTTTTCAAGAGAGAAACATGCTTTTCTCATTAGAATTCTCTTGCAATCTTTCTTGAGGCTTTTTGCAATATGTTATTGTAATCAATTGGTATTTGATTAGTAGAACTCAACTGGAATTTGATTGAGAACTGGATGTAGCGCAGTGGATTGGGTGAACCAGTATAAACTTTGTGTTCTTGCTTTTCTTTCATCTTTTTCTTTCATTTAAGATTGCTGTTATTTGGTTCAAGAATTGATTGGGTTCTTAAATTTTTGAAATTTATAATCTGTAATCAAAAGTTGTGAAATTTTTTTTATTAGATCAATTCACCCCCTCTCGATCTCAACCTATATTTCTAACAACATTCGCATGATGTGTCTATTCCAGTCTTTAATGGGTTGAATTTCTCTGATGAGAGCGAACAAATTCAATTTTACTTAGATGTGATGGATCTTGATTTGATTTTTTAAATTGAAAATTTTCCTGCTATTATTAATGTTACTAGAAATGAAGAAAAAAACCCATTACAAGACAAGACTTGGGAGAAGTCAAACAAACTTAGTGTGATGTTTATGCGAATGAGCATAACAAGTAAAATTAAGTTTTTTCTTTCCAAGACTAAAAGTGAAAAAGAAATTATGAAATTTGTGGAAGAATGCTCTCAAGTTATGGATAAGTCTCTTGTTGGGACATTAATGAATACCTTAACCATCATGAAATTTTATGGTTTTTGTACTATGCATGAATATGTCATCGAGATGACAATTATTACAGCAAGATTTAAGTCTCTTGGAATGGTAGTAAATGAGAATTTCCTTATACAATTCATTTTGAACTTGTTATCGTCTGACTATGGTCATTTTCAAATGAACTATAATACCATAAAAATAAATAAAATGTGCATGAATTGCACATTATGTTAGTTTAAGAGGAAACCAAACTTAACAATCAAGAAAATCACTCTATTCATAATGTGAAAAATTAAGGAGGTGGAAAGAAAGTTAATAAGAAACATGGAAATGAAAAAAGACCATTAAAGATTAGTGAGTCCTCTACTCAAATCGAGAAGAAAAATTACAAATTTTATTTCTGTGGAAGGTATGAGAATTTCCAGAAGAACTGTCTAAAATGTAAAACTTGATTCAAAAAGAAAGGTGAAGATAATGCTTACGTATGTTTTGAATCAAACATAACTAAAGTTCCCCATAATACTTGACGAATTGATTCTAAATGTACAACTCATATTTTTAATGTGATGCAAGGATTCCTTTCAACACAAACTATAATCCCAAATGAGAAGTTTGTCTTCATGGGGAATAGAATGAAGGTTCCAGTGGAATCTATCGAGATTTATCGGTTGATCCTTGATACTAGATTTCATTTAGACTTGATTGATACTTTTTATGTACCTAGTATTAGTAGGAATTTAATTTCTTTATCTAAGCTTGATGTTGTTAGATACTCTTCTAGGTTTAAGAATGGTTGTTTTAGTTTATATAAGTGTACTTGTATGAATGGATCTAAAATACTTTATGATGGTTTATATAAATTGAATGTTGAGAACTATATGTTGAAAATCTTATGACTTTGCATCATAATGTTGACATTAAATATAGGTTGATGAATAAAGGATCTACTTACTTGTGGTATAAACATTTGGGACACATTTCCAAAGAAAGGATGCAAAGATGAGTAAAAAAAAAAGTCCTTCCAAATTTAGATTTTAGTGATCTAAATGTATGTATGAATTGTATCAAAGACAAACAAACAAAACACATAAAGAAAGGAGATACAAGAAGCATTCAACTTCTTGAAATCATATATACTAATATATGTTG